GGCTGAAAACCTCCATGGATGGAGCTTGTAGGTTACAATGAAGCAAGGCTTTAGTTCCCTGCATAATGCATGTGAAACATTTAACTTTGATGCCGGTACTTGATTACCACCAATATTTGACTACCACCAGTACCAGTACTTGATTACTAACAGTACTTGACCACTACCAGCACTTGATTACTAACAGTACTTGATGACCACTAGTACCAGTACTTGATTACTACCAGTACTTGACTACCGACAATACTAGATTACCACCAGTACTTGACACCACCAGTACTAGATAATCACCAGTTCTTGACTACTAACACTTGACTGCCACCACACTTTGTGATCATATCTACTCCCAACTTTGTTTTACTTATAAAATGACTGAACAAAATCCAAAGAAATATATTTTTTAAACTTAATAATAAACACTACAGTATTTTAGATTAGATGCCCTGTATCCATGCACGGGTTACCGATTCCTCACAAACTTAACCGGATTAAACAAATCTAACAGACAACTAAAGAAGTCATCTGCCTGTTCATGTATCACCAAATACCAGGTGCAGTGATGGGTACCAATGGTTGCGGCGAAATAATTTGATATATGAACGTTGTTTGACCTACAGCTCATGACTATCCATGTCTACCGGCATTACAGCATTTAAACGTCTCCATCTCAGCCAATCCTAGCGAATAATTTTCAGCCACTTTAGATAAAACAAAAGCCTTTATGTTTTAAAATACCGTACTTGAACTTTTCAAATAGTTTTATTACACTTTCATTCCCTAAAACACAGTTGCGAAGCTGGGGTATTCAGCTAGTACTGTCATCACTATAACACTTCATAGTCTTTTAGAGACCTATTTCCCAAAAGAGGTAGTCAGGTAGATAAATACAATGGTAAAACTAACCTAAGTTCAAAGTAAACTTAAGAATTGCCTTTTATTCTTTCAAAATGTTATTGAAACAACTTCAACTAGCCAAGTGACATTGTAGTCAGAATGAGCCTGATAGCATGCCACTAAACATGTCCTCTACTCAGTTGTGATGATGTATAGCGTGCAACAAGATATTCAGTGTTTTGTGTATGGTATCAGCTACACTAGTCCATGTGACAAGTGAGAGACTATAATATTCAACAAGTAAGCATCTGACATGAAAGGTTAGACGGAGACAAGACAGTAGGGTCTACATTTCGACATTAGTCCTCTCCATTTTCTTGTAGGCCTGTGAGTCCTGGACATTAACAGCACAACTTGAAAGAAAAATAAAGGCAATAGAGATGAGATATTTCAGAAGCATTCTTGGAATCTGCTATAGAGACCATATCTCAAATGAGCAAGTGACAGAAAGATTCGTCCAGCAATGGGGCAGTATGATGATCTCCTGGTGACTAAAAAAGCGCAAAGTGAAAAAGTATGGCCACGTGACAAGAAAACAAGGGCTCGCCAAAGAATTAATGCAAGACACAACAAGAGGAGGGAGAAGAAGAGGAAGAGAGAAAAAGATGGGAAGATAATATCAAAGAGTGGACGGGACTAAAACTAGCAGGTGCTGTGTGAAGTGCAGAAAACAGAGGAATGGAGAAGGATAGTTTTCATGTCATCTGTGGCGCCCCAATGGTCCAGGGACTAAGGGACATGAAAATGATGAAGATGGCAAATAAACTTGTTCCCACTATTGGCTTCTTACAGCAACAATAAAAAATTATACAATAATAGTTTTGGTGAAACTGATAGAGCAAGAACGGCACTCACAAGCAACCAATCACAGAGCAAGCACGGCACACACAACCAACCTATGACAGAGCAAGCAGGCACACACACAACCAGCCTATGACAGAGCAGGCATACACACAACCAGCCTATGACAGAGCAGGCACACACACAACCAGCCTATGACAGAGCAGGCACACACACAACCAACCTAAGACAGAGCAGACACACACACAACCAACCAATGATAAACTAGCTACACAACAAGCAACGGCTTTATGGTCTTTTGATGTTGCTCTCATCACCGAGACAGTAAATTATATCACAAACATCAAACATAAACCATATAGTAGGGGTGTGCCGGATCCGTTTTTTCCAACCGGATCCGGATCCGGATTTTCTTATGCCAAATCCGCCGGATCCGGATTCCGGTTTCTCCCGGATTCCGGATTTTGGTACTATTGGTAGATACTTCGGTAAGTCAAGGTGGACTACTACTTTTTGTGTATGGGAATTCGCAATCGGCGCCAAAAAATCCGAGTTTTTAATTTTCCGATGTGTGTGTCTATTTATTATTAAATTAGTACTTTCGATATATATTTGAGTTCCGTTCCATTTGGATAAGTGTCTTACGAGAGACGCCATGTTTCTACGCGTTCGCAGCAGGTTATGCAGCTCGCTCAACCTAATTTCGCCATGGGGTTGGCCACGCCCCCCTTTTTAATGGCGGAAGTTGACGATACTTAGGAAATATTAATTTATTATCACTATTTACATCAAAATAATTGATAACTTGTGTTTCAGAATGCATTTAAAGACATTTAAACTGGAATGTTTTAATTTGAGCTTTAACAACCCGGTAGAATCCATATTATAAATGATCAGAATTTACCGTGTGCAACACGTTGTCATTGGCAACCATTCACAGCCACTTGCATAACTGTATCGTAGTACTACCTCAGAGTTTCATTCATAAGAGTTTGCCGTGTGCAAAAACTATTAAACCATTGGTCAGGGAAAGCTTTAATTAATTATTCATGTGCCAAAGTTGAAAGTTTAAACTAAGTCTAAACAGTATTTTAGTGATAAGGCAGGGAATGCGTTGCCTTATATAAACTATATAGTCATTGCGCATGACGGGATTGGTGGAATGAGATCACAGAATGTGGAGATGCAGTCCATGTTAAAAAATGACAAACCAAGTCGTACTTTAAAAATTCATAACTTTAAAACTACAACAGCTAAAAATATGATTTTGGTGTTATAATTCTTTAAAAAATTACATCTTTTCAACTATGCCATTGGTTTATTTTTACAAAAAGTTTAAATTTTCTTATCAAAGTCCCTACACTATTGGCCACTATTAGCGGTGCTGACTCTAGCCTCTGGTATGTACGGAATATTAAACAAGCTCAACGCTCGAAACAATCGATTAATGTATCGTGATCGTGTGAAATTCGGGAAAGAGAATTACTTTTATTTCAGATTATGATCCGGTGAGTCACAAAATCTGGCAAATTGCGAAATCCGGTATATTCCGGAATCCGGTTGTTCCGGATACATGTAAATCCGGCGGAACCGGATTTCACCGGATAGTGCAAAATCCGGCGGAACCGGATTCCGGACCGGGGTCCGGCACACCCCTACCATATAGCACATCCAACACAGACATAACTGAACATCTTCACATCAACAGTAATGGCTGATCACAGTAAACTCTAAGATTCAATAAATAGAGTAAATTACTGACAATAAAGGGATGTATAATAGGTCATTAATATCTCAAATAAAACTTTCTCTTTCAAAGCTTACTCACCCTGTCAACAAAACCACTTTCAAATCATACTGACCTACATACCTCACACTGTGTCAACAAACTCTAATTGGAAATCATGATTCTGTCCTACACACCTCACTGTAGTTAATACTTAGTCCATCTGGCAAGGCTTACATAAAATTGTCAAGATCATCAAAAACAAACCAGCCAAATAATTTTTTTTTTTAAATGATCTGTGGAAGAACACAACCAAACCTTGGAATGAAGATTTAGCATTTCCAACTTTGGTCAAAAGTCATACAACATTCCACAACCCCTTCATTACTGCACATACCCATTTGAACACCTAGTGCAGGGCATAATTTGAAATATTAAAACTTAAAAGCGAAGTATCTAATAAATAGGTACCCATTACAAGTAATACAAGCTTATTTCCAAGTTTTGGTGAGCTCTATAAAACCAGCCAATGACTCAGTGATGGTTAGGTCAAGAGAACAGGCAAATGGCCCATTGATGGTCAGGTCAATAGAACATGTCAATGGCTCAGTGATGGTGAGGTCAAGAGATCAGGCCAATGACCCATTGATGGTCAGGTCAATAGAACATGTCAATGGCCCAGTGATGGTGAGGTCAAGAGAACATGTCAATGGCCCAGTGATGGTCAGGTCAAGAGTACAGACCAATGGCCCAGTGATGGTCAAGTCAAGAGAACAGGCCAATAGCCCAGTGATGGTGAGGTCAAGAGAACAGGGCAATGGCCCAGGGATGGCCAGGTCAATAGAACAGGCCAATGGCCCAGTGATGGTGAGGTCAAGAGAACATGTCAATGGCCCAGTGATGGTCAGGTCAAGAGAACATGTCAATGGCCCAGGGATGGTCAGGTCAATAGAACATATCAATGGCCAGGGATGGTGAGGTCAAGAGAACATTTTAATGGCCCAGTGATGGTCAGGTCAAGAGAACATTTTAATGGCCCAGTGATGGTGAGGTCAAGAGAACATGTCAATGGCCCAATGATGGTCAGGTCAATAGAACATGTCAATGGCCCAGTGATGGTGAGTTCAAGAGAACTGGCCAATGGCCCAGTGATGGTCAGGTCAATAGAACATGTCAATGGCCAGTGATGGTGAGTTCAAGAGAACAGGCCAATGGCCCAGTGATGGGGAGGTCAAGAGATCATGTCAATGGCCCAGTGATGGTGAGGTCAAGAGAACAGGCAAATGGCCCAGTGATGGTCAGGTCAATAGAACATGTCAATGGCCCAGTGATGGTGAGGTCAAGAGAACAGGTCAATGGCCCAAGGATGGTCAGGTCAATAGAACATGTCAATGGCCCAGTGATGGTGAGTTCAAAAGAACAGGCCAATGGCCCAGTGATGGTCAGGTCAATAGAACATGTCAATGGCCCAGTGATGGTCAAGTCAATAGAACATGTCAATGGCCCAGTGATGGTCAAGTCAATTGACACAGGTCAGTGGCCCAGTGATGGTGAGGTTAGAAATGGATAAAAGTGATCCGTCCACATAAAAACTTTACGAAATCATCCCTCAGACAAAATATACATTTCCAAACCAGGATTTAGCAGGATCTTGCCACTTTGGTAAAATAAAATACTAATAAAAATCTGGCTCACACTTATACCATTACATTTATTTGTGGTGTAAAGGGGAAGAACTTGGAAACTATCAACATTTTTATAAATAAACATAACGGAAATGGTGAAATCACTTGTCCACCTTGTGTCCTCCTGACCTTTTGACCTGCCTTGTAGATTTCTTACTTCTTGTGGTTTTGAGCAAACTGTAAGATGTGTAAGTGCAGTGATGGGTGGAGAAAAATGGAATGTAGAAGGCTCGGAACACTCTGTGAGACCTGTGGGCGGATAGTGATCACTTATAGATTAGGTCAAGGAATCTAGCGTCTCTAGTCACCTGCTAGTATGACAGGTACACTAGTTACCTGCTAGTCTAAGAGCTACATTAGTTACCAGCTAGTCTAAGACCTACACTAGTTACCTGCTAGTCTAAGAGCTACACTAGTTACCTGCTAGTCTAAGAGCTACATTGGTTACCTGCTAGTCTAAGAGCTACATTTGCTACCTGCTAGTCTAAGAGCTACATTAGTTACCTGCTAGTCTAAGATCTACACTAGTTACCTGCTAGTCTAAGAGCTACACTAGTTACCTGTTGGCATCTATAAATGGGGCTTGTTTGACCACCGTCCAGTCTGCATGTGTTGTATACCTTGGCTCTAGTGATGTCCAGTCCTCTGAGTCCCTGTCAATCAGGTAATGGCAGCGACTTACGTCTATCTGTAACGTGAATGGAAGGCATAAATCAAAGCATAGCTACAATGGTTGTCTTCAGAATTAAAATGTGTTTACAGTAATGCCCACTTCTTATATCTGACAAACACCGGCACAAGAAATTGTCACGGAGATGCATGTCAGAAACATTTCTAAAAAGGACCAGTAACTTACATATCGAGAGGGCTCCTCTCTGTTTACATCATTCATGTTGGAGGGAATAACTCTGGTTGCATCTGGTCCTGATTCGTAAGCTTTGGGTAAAATCCCTTTAAACTCTGACTGCAGGAACTGCAGATGCCAGCTGAGGTGGGAAAAGGAGATTATTATTTTCAATCTTTATATAATGATATTAAAAGCATTATAAATTACAGGACACGTTCAGTTTGTGATTTATTTTTAGCAGTTTTGAGATTTGATAGCTCAAGTCAATGGAGCGAAGCTAGAATAGGAACAGTTTTGAGATTTGATAATTCAAATAAATAGAACTAAGCTAGAATAGGAACAGTTTTGAGATTTCATAATTCAAATAAATAGAACTAAGCTAGAATAGGAACAGTTTTGAGATTTGAGAGTTCAAATGAATAGAACTAAGCTAGAATAGGAACAGTTTTGAGATTTGAGAGTTCAAATGAATAGAACTAAGCTAGAATAGGAATTCGTTTAAATCTGTGATGTTCCTTGTATTCAGCTATGCATGTAAAAAATGCACTTACTTTTTGTTAGGCAGGAAAAATGAGCTTGGATATCTGTACCACTCTTTGCCTACACAGACGGTGACAGGCTTGTCTGGTGCCAGTGTGTGGATCTTGGGGTCAAAGGCCACTCTGTGCAGCTCCACATAGATGTCTAATGGTGCATGGTAACCTGCAGGGGAAAGTGTCACGCTGTTAAGGACTGGTTGTTAAAGTAGTTAAGAATAAATAAAGGTTTTTTTTTTTTTTTAAACAATCACACAAGAATACACGTTACTCTGTATTAAATGAGATGTTTGTAAAATCTGTAAAAAAAAAAAAAATTAAGGACTGGTTTTTAAAGTAGTTAAGAATAAATAAAGGTTTTTTTTTTTTTTAAACAATCACACAAGAGTGCACGTTACTCTGTATTAAATGAGATGTTTGTAAAATCTGTAAAAAAAAAAAACTGAATTGACTCACACATGTAACCAACAACTGGCCATTGACTCACACATACAACCAACAACTGACCATTGACACACACATGTAACCAACAACTGACCTCAGATATATACAATATTTGTATATAGTAAACAAAATTGAAGCTTCATATTTGACATCACAGACTATTATGTACAGAATGTGTGCTCACCCACCTTGGTATATTGCAATTATTCTAGAGAATGACACTTGTGCTCACCCACCTTGGTATATTGCAATTATTCTAGAGAATGACACAGCTGCAAAGAGCAACGAGAAGCCAGCAGTGACCCAATTCGTTCTGTCTGTATAGTGACCCACTTTAGATGCTCCTTGCACTAGTAGGTCAAGCAGTCGCTGAGAGGACAGTAAGTTATTACCATAAATGTCTACTTCAGAGAGAAAAAATAAAGGCATTGATTTTAATTAACAAAAAAAATCTCTAAATCAGTGGTTCTCAACCTTCCTAATGCCGTGACCCTTTAATACAGATGCTCATGTTGTGGTGACCCCCCCCCCCAACCATAAAAGTCTTTTCGTTCCTACTTCATAAATATGTGTTTTCCTATGGTCGTAGGCGACCCCTGTGTAGGGGGCATTTGACTGCTCTAAATGTTCTTAAAAACATCAAAAATTTATGCCCCCCCCCCCCTCCAATTATCCCTTAAACCTCCCCCCCCCCCCATGATCTATAAGATCACATGCTCACACACCATAAACAACCCCCAAACTGACTAGGGAACAAGATCAAGCCAACAAAAAGAATTACCTGAACTGAGTCGAGCACCAAGGCTGCAGCCATTGCAAAGAAAGGGTAGATGGGAAATAAAAACCTCTCTTCCTGTGGTGAGCAAAAAAAAAAATTTTTGACCAAAGCCAAACACAGATTTATATCTTGGGTGCTGCCGGGCAAATCTAAGTTTACACTTACTTAATATGAACAAGTTCTACAATAATTTCAATGCTGAAACATTTAAAAAGTAAATTATGGGTTTAATCCTACATGGGAGCTCATAAATCAGAGTGGATTAAAGATGAAAACATGCAGAGGGAAAAAGAAAAAAAACAGCCCAAACTTCTGTCTCTCACAATGAAAACAACGGCAAATGGTCGTGTCAATCAAACCACTGTGCAAAGATATCCCAAATGACGTATCCAAAAATATCATGATTTAAAATGATTATTGGAAGGAAACAAAATAACTATTTAAAAAAAAAAAAAGAAGAAAGATATCCGAGTTAATGAGATGTCCAGGAAAGAGCAGTGGACGAAAATGAAAACAACGGCAAATGGTCGTGTCAATCAAACCACTGGGCAAAAATATCCCAAATGACGTATCCAAAAATATCATGATTTAAAATGATTATTGGAAGGAAACAAAATAACTATTTAAAAAAAAAAAAAAAAGAAAGATGTCCGTGTTAATGTGATGTCCAGGAAAGAGCAGTGGACGATTTTAAGGACTGGATGGACTTACTTTGTGAGGCCTGGTGAAGAAAATAAGAATCCAGATGTACATGGGAGCCAGGGACAAATAAATGGTGGACACTGGGGAGAACATTGGATTGGTCAATTATTGCGTTGGCATTGTTGTGGTCAAGCTGTAGTCTAAAAAAGACCAGTTCTTCTACTCAACTTGTATCATACTGGTTAAACACGTGTTACAGAGCGACTGTCGCAACTATTAATTTACAAGCATTCACACGAGAAACACTTTGAATGAGCAGTTAGTTGTTCAATGAAATATTTAAAAATGGATTGCAATTAGAGACAGCCAGCATAAGCTGGTTATACTGCTGGGTTTTATTCCTTTATGTTGTTAGCAATTGCTTACATTTGCAATTCAATCTGTTAACATTTTTTCAATTCATTATATCACACTGACATTCAAATGCTGCCATGGGCATGGTGCAGTGGGATGCCCTTGTGGTTTATAATGACCATACTCTAAACAAAAATTAACACATGGGGAAACTCTTTTTTTTAAATAGATCTATTGCCAGGTGCAACTTAATTCCGCTGGTGCCCACAAACACACATGTGATTAAAAACAGAAAAAGAAAAGAAACATTAGACTCACTCGCAAGAGAGTTGGGTCTCTGGAACCATGAAGTGATAACCTGAACCAAGGAAAGAAGATAATAAATCAAATATCTTGTAAAGACCCAGTGCTAATGGCCTTATAGCTTAACCCTTGGCTGTGATCAAATATAATTAATTATTAGTATTCACTGATCCCCCCTCCCCACTTGCCCCTCTACTTCAAACCCCAATATACTTGCCCTACAAGAGAAATCACAGATTGTGTTCTGGATTGTGACGAGGTGTCCCCAATTAACACAATATCTATATTTAGATTTCCCTACAAGTGAACTTGGTGGTAGATACCCACGGCCCTTAAGCCACAACCAAAAAGCTGGTTAGTTGCAGCACATTAGCCTGCTGGCCCCAGTCTATTACATTAGCCTGTTCGGCACAGGACAAATGAGCTAAACAATAAGAACAAAGCTTCCCAACTGGCACCCCTCTGTACCCCGATCACCAGGACCGAACATGAAAATCTACATGTTTCATATTAAAGTGAGTTATTTTTCACAAACAACAAAATCTTAACAAAACGTACCCAAATGACGGTCATTGTTACCAAATGGTGGGGAATATTACCAGATGGTGGCAAATTTGTTACCAAATGGCAGTCAATGTTACCAATTGGTAGTCAATAATTCAATGTTACAAAATGGTGGTCAATATTACCAAATCATGGTAATGTTACCAACTGGTGGTCAATGATACCAAATGGCAGTTGTAACCAAATGTTCGTCAATCTTATCAAATGGTGGTCAATGTTACCAAATGTTGGTCAATCTTATCAAATGGTGGTCAATGTTACCAAATGTTGGTCAATCTTATCAAATGGTGGTCAATGTTACCAAATGTTGGTCAATCTTATCAAATGGTGGTCAATGTTACCAAATGCTGGGGAAATATGATTTTTAAACTTACAAGAAATGGCAGGGAGCCCAGAGCCAGGAAATAAGCAAAATTAAAGTTAAGAAATCCATTGATAATATAGTAGGACAGTGGCTCTATACCTGTATGAGAAGAGAAAGAGTTATGGGTCAGTGTGTTACAGTACAAATTATTGGAACAACTGTGCTTTCATAATCATTCTTTTGTAAATGATTCAAACCTAATTCAAGTCTTAAACAATTTAATTCAATTTTATAAATGGTTTTATTTATTCATTCTGTAACAACTAAGAATAGCACCAATTTTAAATGAGATCAGATACATTGATGTCTGCTGATAGCTTGACACAAACAACTGAGTTACCATAAAGTTCTGGGCCGTGTCCAGAGATGACATTGTACAAGACAATATTGAGTGGGGCCACCACCAGCTTGCCATAGAAATGCATGTCAATTAGCACTGTGGGCACCTGAGAGGAAATGGCATCAGACATGGGACTTATAGAATGTGTGAAGTCAGATGAATATCAGGTTTGTGATCAGCTGATGAGATGTCAATGAGTTTTATGGGACACGGACAGCTTCCACCATTTAAACATGCAAACAGTGACACTCAATGAACGTATGAATACGTACAGCCTGCAACCTTAAATTTACACCATACAAACATGTGTATACACACATACACCATGCAAAACTTGTACACAATGAAACATTTACACCATTCACACATGTACACCATACAAACATATACACCATACTAACTTATACACCATACTAACATATACATCACACAATCATGTACAACATGCCAACATGCACATCATACAAATTGTTAACCATACAAACATGTATACCATACAAACATGTACATCACAAAAACATGTACACAATACAAACATTCAGATCATAAAAAATGTTAATCATACAAACATGTACACCATATGAACATGTCGTATGCCATACAAACATGTATACCATATGAACATTTAGTAGACCATTCTAACATGTATACCACAATGAACACATAGTACACCATTCGAACAAGTCCACATACTCACCAGGAAGACCAATAAAGATATAAGACCCCATCTCAAGAAGTGCACATATTCCTTCTTCAAGACCAGAGCATCAAAAGCTATGGGGATCCTAAAAGATGATTTTAAACGTCAATTGCTATACATGTTTCGGGGAGTGGGGAGGGGAGGGGGCGACTTATCTATGGGTTTTTTTTGGCTATTTTTATGTTACTGTAAATATAAAAATATGAATATAATTGAATTATTTTCCATAACTTTTTTCCACTGGCTTGCAACTCAAATGTAATTGAATGAAACTGCATGTTACTTACCCTAGTGCTGCGGCGAATGGCCACCCTAAGATAGTGCTGCAGGCGATCGCCAAAATGCTCACCTGAAATACAGAGTGAATAAATTATCTTAGCTTTCTATCTATAGCAATGGGGCAATATGAGAAATGTAGTTCAGTTATAACAAGTGATGGGACGATACTAAAAATTTTAACGATTCCGATACAATTCTGATTCTACCTAATTATCCCGATTCCCGATACGATTCCGATTCCTGGCCATTATTACATATATGTATTACTGTGCCCAGGTATTAACATATTTAATTAATATAAAAGTTGAGAATTGATTAGAAAAGTTTATTAACTTGCTATTGAAGCTTTACAATATGCTAGATAACAATGTCTTGGAAAGGTTTTATATAAACACATCTATCAATAATTCCATTTTAATAATACAAGATATAGCTAGTGTCTTTGATAAAAATTTCAAAATGTGTATATAAAAACTGTATATTAAATATACATTCATGTACATACAAAATAGGAAAAAGTTTACCTTCACAAAATAACATTTTATCTAATTTTTTTTAGAAAAAGTATACCGTAATTATTATAATTATTGTTTCATTCCAAACAAACAAAAATAAAATATTAATTATATTTACTACATTGTGGTATTGAGTTCAAAATAATATAAATAATTCCATTTTAATAAGAAAAACTTCAGTCAGTTCAATCAGTTGATAGTTGATAATAAGAATATGCATTTAATCATAGTCAAATTGAAGCACTCGCAAATTATAGTGCAAAAACATAAGCATCTCTCCAGTTTTTGGTTCTAGCCGGTTTCTCTATATTGCCACCTACTCTAAAAATTCTCTCGCTCTCTACTGAAGAAGGCGGAGCACATAAATACTTTAATGAGAGGAGAGCCAAACTTGGAAGTTCTTCTTGGTTCGCTTTCCACCAGCCGAGAGGATTCTCATTGTTTGCAATCAGTTTAAATGTTAGATACCTTGATATTTCTGTTCTAATTTTAATACTTGCTGCTGAAAATTGCCTCGTTGTTGTTGTGGTTGTAGCATTTGTACTGCTTGTTTCTTGTTGATTGGCTTTCTTTTTCTTTTTCATATCAGCAAAGCACTTTTCAAAACTGAAATTGAATTCCACATTTTGCTCATCATCACTGCGGGCTGAATCTGAAGACTCAGGAAGACTGGCAGTTTCACTGTGACTACACTTTATGCTATTTGACAGGTCTTCCGACAGCCATAAAGCAAGCGCTTCATCTGCAGGTTTGCCATTATATTCTTGTTCAAAGAACTTATCTTTAAATCGTGGATCAAGGAAGGTGGCAAGAATTAAGTTTTTATCATTAATGTAGGAGCTTAATCTAAGTTCAACTGATGATTTCCATGATGATAATGTAGATCCCAAGCCAGAGAACTGTCCATTTGATTCTGCACATTCAAAAAAGTGCCTGATCACTTTGATGTTTGGAATTATCAATGCAGCTGTTGCATCCCGGGTGCTCATAAACTTGGTGCAATCTTCAAAGTTTTCAATATTTTTTTAAGCTTTTCCAACAATTTCCACTGACTACTTTCCAAACACTCTGGTTTTGAATGCTCACTGCAATATGCAATGAGAGCTGCCTTTTGTTCAAGTATCCTATTCATCATTAGGTACTGACTGTTCCATGTTGTTTGTACATCCTGTATAAATCTGTGTGCAGATACTTTGAACTGTTTTTGATACTCTTGATATTTAGCAAATGCTGAAGGTGAATGGTGAAAATGTCCTACAATGTGTTTGCAGACACCAATAGCATCTTTGACATAACGCTGCTCAAATATGGCATCATTTAGTACCAGCTGTAAGGTGTGCGTAAAGCATGGCAATGATTGTAAATTTGCTTGGGCAATTCCTGCTACCATGTTAGCTGCATTGTCTCTCACCACAAGATGAACTTTACTACTGCTTAGGTTAAATTCTTGCATTGTATTTAATATGTTTTCACATATATTGACAGCAGTGTGTTTATCATTAAATGGCGCGACTTGTAAAATGGCACATCTTAACTCATAGTTATCCTTAATCCCGTGAGCTGTAAAGCTTATAAATGATTAATTAGACATGCTTGCAGTCCAACAGTCACTTGTCTCTTTTGTTTCTCATCTTCATCCTTTCGTTTGATTTTTTCATATTCGAACTCTTCACTATGTTTAGCTTTTAAGTGCTTCAGCATATTTGATGTTGTCAAGTATCCTTGTTTATTTCCTCTTAATATTCTTTGATCACACACATTACATTTTGCTTTTGTTGAATCTCCAGAGTCGACTTTGAAAAAAATCCATGCTAAACTTTGGCCGCCACTTGCCATGATTAATTTGGGCTCTGAAATAAAATAAATAGAAATTAATAAATAAAAATTTCATAATATAAATTTGTTTTCTGTTATTTGTTAACAGCATCATTTAACGAATTATAACTGCTTTTTTCTTAATATAGGTCTACCCGGCCTACTGTATTCTTAATAAGCTATTCCATAGCTTTAAATTCCGCCCTACACCTTAACAAATTAGGGTGATCATTGCATGCAAGGCAGGTGGTCTATTGATTTTTTTGCTATTGATTTTTTTGCGGTGCTATTGATTTTTTTAACTGTTCTGATTTGTGAATGAATAAAACTGTGGGCTATTCCATATCAATACCTCTCTCCACCCCTTGCCCATTTAACTGAAGTCCAGTCAGTAATAATTTTCACCTAGGGTCAGAGGTCAACACAGTGGAAAATACTGACTATTAGATGTGTAGGCAGTGTACTTGTAAAGGTCAAGGCCTCATCTGAATCAAACAACTCAAAATATTGTCACTAAATTAGATCTTTTCAAGATTTGTAATGACTCAGAACAAATAGATTGATTGTTAAATATAAATAAAAGAGCTCTAACGTGATACTATGTGGAGATAAATCATTCAAGTTTATTAAAAATTAAAGCATAACAAAATTTGTTTTAAAATAAAAATTTAAAAATTTGACCGCAACTTACCTACTTTAGAAAAAGTTCGCTGACCCAGGAACAGATTTTGCCACCAAAAATAAATAAATAAAAAATCGGATTCTACATACCCATTTTATTGTTAATTTATAATTTATAGGCCTACTTTTTAAAATGTTTTATTATTGATTTTAACAAAAACTTACGAAAATCAGAAAAACGGAGCACCTTACCTTCAAATGCTTTATTTTTCAAAATATTTATCACTGCTAGCTTATTGACTATTATATAGTACAGCAAAAAGATTTTTTACATTTTGCTGATAACATGTGGTTTTAAATAAACTTCCTGCCGGTAATTAAAAATCTCGGAACAAAATGAAGAGTATTATAATGCGAAAAAAAACTTTGGGCTGTCACCGGCTTACGGCAGTTAATCAGTTAAGAATCGTTTTGGTATCGGAATCAGGTCTGAATTTTTCAGCTCCGATACAGATTCCCGATGCTTTGGAAAAATCCCGATATTTCGATTATTCTGATACGATTCCGATTAATCGTCCCATCACTAGTTATAACAATCATTTTCCTTAGATCCAACAAACCAGCCATTTACATACATGAACATCTCCAACAAACCAGCCATTTACGTACATGAATGTCTCCAACAAACCAGCTGCCATAAGCTATCATGGTCATGTACATGGAGAAACTACTTGGCAGAAAGGCAGAGGCTGAGGCAAACATTCCAGCAGAAAACAGCAGGAGTATGAGGGTCAGGCGCCCAACATTGGGTCCAAACACCTTGCAAACACCTCTGGAATTTTTAATAAAAAATTTAATTATTCATTCTGGTCGGACTGCAGCTCATGAGATGTTGTTTTTTTTTTACTGAGTATGACATAAATTTTATTTTAAATAAAACATGAACTGAGTAAAATTTACAATAAAACGTTTCTGCACTAAGATGTCAACACTACTGCCCAGACAAATTTACCTATAGAACAGCATCTCAGATATAGCACAGACAACTCCCAGCATGCATCTTGTCATGTAAAAAACAAAGATCTGAAAAAATATCATTTTTCAAATTTTAAAAATAAAATTTGAATCAGGAGATGATAATTTATCATAAAGTTATAAAGTTAAATCTAAAGCATCTTGCTCTTCTACGGCCCGACTAAATCCAAGTTTTTTTCCTATCTTATTATTATAGCCCTGTAAAGTCTTTTATTTAACCATTTACAGGGCACAGCGGCCGAAAACGTTTTTACCACTGAATCGGCAAAATGTCAGAAAGTGCAACCAAGGGTTGTAAACATGCAACCTCTGAGACTTTGCCAGACTACAATTTGTGTACTTCAGGTTTTGCCAATAGCTTGATGGCGTTACAAGTATTTTCTTTAAATTTGATTTGATTTTTTTTTTTACAGTTTTCAGGGTTTTAATGCCTTGTTTTTCACAATGTTTTACGATTCTTCAAGTGATAGCGGAGATTTCTCTGGGTTCAATTTAGGTTAATTGAAGTATTGAAGTGCACAAAGTTGATTATGAATAGGAGCTAGATATTAATATCATCAGCATAAGCAGCGTACACACTTCTTGCAGAGTGTTTGTAAACAGTGTATAGATGACTGACAATCACAAACAATATGTTTTGTAAATAATTGTGTTCATGTGTGGATTACTGTCAACATTTGATTATTCCTTTCACGCAAGTAAAATAATAAATCTGCATTCATTTTCCTTTACTTTGTTTTTTTATTTCACAAAAATTTGTAGACTAACACCTTAGATTTCATGTTTTTACTAGTCTAACGAAACCCTATATCTTACTAAAAACCTGAAAATGTTGCCCGTTCATAGCTAGAAAAAGGAAAAAATGTTCAAAGAGTTAAACCGGTGATACCATTATTTTTTTTTTTCTTCTGATTGAAAGATTATAATGTCTTGTACATTAGCATTATTAAATCTATGTTATTTGAAATGACCAGAGATACGTACTGTGTTGTCACCCAAAAATGTAGAACATAACTTCATGGGGAGGACATGAAGCAAGATGTAAGCGTAAGAGCGAATGGCATACTCCGGCGAGTATTCCCACGTCTGAAAACCTCTCCCATAGTTCAAGAAATGGGCCTGTGGGAAAACTTTGAGAAATCAATAAATAAGGCAATAAGGACAATGTCAATACAACCACTAAGTCTGACATGGTTAAAAGAATAACGACAATGTCAATACAATCACTAAGTTTGACATGGTTAAAAGCATAAATTTTGCAATGATATTTTGTTCTATTAGTGCTGTGGGACTTAGGAATTAATAAATCTTATGATGGTCTGTAGTCCAGTGTAGAGTCTCAAAAAATTCTTTGACAGTGACAGTTAAGCCTTTCAGTACTTAACATTAAATGATCCAGACTTAATTATTTTGCAGTTGGCTGGCCTTCAATTCAAATATTTTCTAGACACAAATTAGTGAGGAAAGTCAATTAAACTTGTTGCATTGGTTCGATCTGTAGTGGATTTAGCTGTTGTTATCTTACTGGCTCCCAGTAGTTGTAAGTCTCGTCACAATCCGAAACAACACTCCACAATGCAGCGCACAGTCTGGCAGACATTAGCAGCTTGAATGCAGTTCCAGGTGTTGGCGTCCATGGCTCATCGAAAAAGCTGATTACCTCAGGATCAGTACGTGAAGTAACTGACTGTACACTGGTGATGTAAGTACGGAAAAAGTACATAAAATACAGATGAATTTTGCCTGTACTCTGGTGAGATAAGTAGTAGTATAGAGTTCACCTAAAGCTATTTTACATAACTCAATTTTATAGTTTTAGTTTTGTAGCATTAAATTGATGCGAGTACGAAACTAATCTTACCATACTTACTTTTCTTACATGTAAAAAAGAATTAAGCTACAAAAATAACAAAATGATATGTAGTATGAGATGCTCTACTATGACTATGACTTTTACTTGAACTGTTATGCTCCCAGGTTCGATGCCGGCTTTATTCATTTTAAAATGGAAAGTCAGACCCAAAGTTTTGATAAATAAATGCTTACGGCAACAAAATGTTTGCGCTTGCCCTGTAAAATACTGCGATCTCAATTTACCTTTCAGTAACAGAATGGGTATTTTTTTTCGTGACTTTAGCATTGTTTTGATTGACGCGTTTTATGGCCATTTTACAATTACAAGATGCTACTATTGATTGGTTTATCTTCACTTTGTACTCTACTGTCTGCAGTTCCGAACACTTAATTAAGCCTATGGTGCAGGTACTTTATAATTAGCTGCTATATATAGTAGAGAAAATCCTAAAGAAGTACAATAAAAAAATAATTTAAAAAAAAAAAACTACTTCAACCTACACCCTGTCCTCCCAATATAGCCTAATTTAAGTGTAAAATACTTAGACTTCGTTTTTGAATTATAATTATAAATAAAAATTAAGCTCTGACATGCAATATTCTTTTTACTGCTCCAAGTGTTCCCCATGTATAGTATATATTTTGGTGGCAAATTAAAAATATAAGTATTACAAGTCTCTATTTATGGGGGTATTCTTAAATTTAACATTTAGATACTGTTTTACAAAAAATAATTTTTAAATAGATGGTTCTAGGTTGGGTTTTTGTTTCGGGGAAAAAAAAAGGTGGGTGGGGGGGGAGTAGCAGGCAACACAAAAATCATAATTAGTGACATACACTACACTACTATGATATATGACACGGTGATAAGATTTATCTGGAGGTAGCCTGGGACCTTGAGAGGTGGGGGAAAGGGTCAATTAAAATGTATTTGACAACCAGCATATGTTTCGATGTATTGACTTCAGCTGCGACCAACATGTTAATCAGAGAAGATTCAGTGGGAGCAATTTGTCCCCCACTAGGGAATAGTACGCATTTCGTCTGTAAATACCCCAGCAGGGACATTTCCTGAGCTCTCTGGGACACTGCGCTGGGGGATGCAAAAGTAGGGATTGTCAATTGATCCCATCAAAATCAATTAAGTAATTTATTCTGCACTTCATTTATAAATTTGTGTTGCATTACTAGCTGTCATACCTATCAATGTCTAATATTTTTTATTTACTTTAAAAAAAAAGATTAAGCTTACATTTTCTTTAGACTGACTTTAAATAATATTTGCCAACCATTTTTATTTGTATAACATTAACCATGGAGTCCTAATTTTATTTTACATGCAATATTTTAATTTATAAAATGGTGTTAAGCAAAAAAAATTTAATAAGTAGGGAAAATAAATCACCAATTATAAAACAATATTGACAGGTGGGTTTTCAGTTGTCCCTCTAGTCTGAACAATAGACGAATGCATATTTTGAATTAATTTTATTTCATAACATCTGCAATGTGATTTTCACAATTTGTGATGCAAATTTCTGTGCGCCTTGCATGTTTCACATGAACCCAATGTAGTAACTTCACATTTCTGTCAATTTAGGAAGATTTCCGAGTCAAGACATTATGGACTCCATGTACAACAAACAAGAAGGAGACAATAAAAAGAACACCGAAAATATTTTTTTTTCATTTTATTTTTTTTTCCAATATGTAAAGAAAAAATATAGCAGAATGAAGTTAAAGAAGTACTGTATACAACATGGCCATACAAATGAATACAGGGTAAATTAGTTTTAAGTTCTACAAATGAAGCAAGAACTAATTTTATTTTCAAATTTATATCAAACCAATTTTTTGCAGTTATAAACAAAGCAAATTTTAACAGGAGTCAGTCAGTATAAATTTCCCAGTACAATCCAGAACATGGGTTACTCATATACATTTTTTAAAAAAGCAGAAACCGCCTCAGTTGTATGTAGTGTAGTTGTTGGAGCACATCCTAGAAACAAATTTCATGCAGTTTTTAAAAAAATTAAAAATAAGAACTTCAAAATGAACCAAAACATTTGAAAATTCTTTAATTGTGGCCAGTGTTAATATAAGTTTAGATCACAAATTATCAAGTTATTTATGCTTTGGTCTGAAACTACTAACACAAAATATGCAAGGCAGTTTTCACATGGGTACAAAAAAAACTCTATAGAGAACGATATGAAATAGAATAAATAACAGTATTCATTTATCCTTACATATGAAGGTTCTAAAATGCATACAAGCATATGGCCATGGATCAGAGATGTCAAGTAAGTTGACATAAAATATTAAACATGGGGTACATTATTGTCAACATGTTAATTAGCTTTGTATAGTCTCTTCAAATTTGTGATGAATAAAAAATTATCACATTTTCTTCACAAAAAAAACTCCTTTTCACCTTTTTTTTTTCTAATGGAAAAACTACAGACAGTACCCTTTGGGACAAACTCCAGCAATCACTTCAGCATTTAAAAATCTTAATTTAGAAATAACAGCCATTTATGGTCCTCTTTCAAGTTTAACCCTTAAAAGCCCAAGATTTTGAAACAGTTTGCCCAGATCCACATTGGAGTAAGCACTTCTATCCAACCACCGAGAGGTGACATGTTTGAGCTCTCTGTACACATCCATTATCTCAGGATTCATCTTGCGAGCAACAACTGAAAGAAATGTGAATATGGACAATGTCATTTTAAAAAAAGGCTATGCAATATTGATAAATGGCAGTATAAATCTTCAAATCAAATGGAAGTTTAAAATGTACTTATTTCAACAAACTTTTTAACTGGCTGAGAATTATTTCAAGTTAGACTCATGGAAACATGAAATGAAATTGTAGACGGCAATGGAAAAACTGCATCTCTCCCAAGGAAAATGATTAGCATTTAAAAATGTTATTTCATTTACAAACTCTCAGTAGAGGTTAGTATATATTTATTAAAATTTTTTTTATAAATCCTATATGAATAGAGTTCTTTTTAAGTTAAAAAAAAATAACGAAATTATAATTACTTTTCTCATTCTCATTCAAGTAAGTTGTGGCCTTTTGGACATCAAATATGTAGTCATAGAAGCAAAGTTGGTTGTACAATGCTGAATCAGTGTACTATAGAGGAGTGAATACCAATTAAAAAATGTAGTAATTGAAATAAAATCTCAGGTATAGTAACCTAATTTGAGTCAAAGAAGAACAGTTGAAGTTGAAAATTGAAATCCATGTTTAAATTTTAATAAACCATAACTTTGTCATAAAAAAATAATTTTGTCAGTTAACACATCTGTCAAGCCCTAAGGTACTATTTATTGCCTAAAATAATATTTACATTGTTGAAAAAAAAGTATTGTATTTAATAAATTTAATTAAACAAAGCTAATTCTTACATAAAAAGTCTTATGCAAGGCAAAATAAATTTTTGTGGAGATAAACTAATAAAAGTAATAATTTTAAAATGTTCTTTCTCCTGCATCTCTTGTATAGTCATTAATTAAACAATGATTCGGTGACTTCTTTCAATAGCTTGGCAAGCAACAATTACCTCTAAGTGCAGGGAACTCTTGTTACAGGCAGAACAGACTGGGTGACCTCTTCGCATTATTAGGGGAATCTTATTTGTCCTTACGTTACAGCCTGTGTCCTCACATTTGAGCCAACCCTGCACGAGACAAATAAAAATAATATACTTGATTAAAAGTTGATGTATGTTATTGATTATGATCTATATAGGTCTAAGACAGTTTCAGTTCACTTTTTTTGGACCATTCTTTTTTACAGTTCTGAATATTTATGTTAAATTCTGAGTGACCAAAGAAGTTCACATGGTAAATCCAACAACCTGATAACTGTACTGTGTTTACCTGATAGTAGGTGTTGACATGTTGCTGTATTTTAAGTTGCAGTAGGTTTTTAAGTTGATTTTTGGACTTCCAGAGTGGTTCTCTACACTCTGTATTAGGACACACCTGAAGAGCTGGCAGAATTGTGGAATCCTGTCAATGATAGACAGTGGAAGGTAAGAAAAAAAATCATAATGCAGATATACACAGTATGTTCTTAATTTCATCATGCATCAGTAGCTCATAAACAGTTCTACACCTTTAGTTTTTGAATAGCATGATCACTGTCACAATACAAAGGCCTAGATCATCTGTAATTATTAATATTAACAGGCTTTTTTAATGAACCCCTTACATTTCCTGTGAACACAGAATCTAAAACGATCTCACGGCCACATTTAGTTGAAGGGCAAGGGAAGACAATTCTATTACAATCACGAAATTTTTCTTCTACTGTGAGCTGTAAAGTTACCAGATCCTCCTCCTCTTCTTCCTCTTGGCGTGTTGTGCGGCGGTAACCAGATGGGTCTAAACCTGTAACAGGCATTATTAAAGTTATTATATCCGTAATTTCAGTCAACTACCAAAAAAAAACTAACCAGACGTCAACTGTCTTATTATAATTTAATATTTTACCAGCAGGACTTACCAAGACACTCTGCGATACGTGCACTGTCTGTGCCTTCAATAGGGTCACATAACCTGGCAACAACTGGATGAATCTGGTGAGCCAGGTAATACTTAACATCTGTGGACAAATGGAAAGTTATATAAGGTATTGTATTTAACAACAATACTTTTTTTTTAAAGTCTGACAAAAGAAATGACTAAAAATTACAGTTTACATTATATTCTAATAATTGTTTAAATTAAATGTTATTCAATCTACGGTACTTATAAAAATATACAAAACTCATGAACTCCCTGCATTGTAAATTCTGTTTTGATGAAGTATAGATAACTGTATAAATTAAATTATTAAGGAGTATCTGGCTAATCAGGACAAAACTGTTTCTATTTTAAAAAGATTCCATTTGTAGACTGGTTTTGTGACAGCATGTTTATAAACTCACCTATTTTAAGATTTTCTTGCTTGGCAAGTTCATCTGGATGATAAGCTCTTTGGGTTGCAGATAATGTGGTGCCATCCTAAAAATAGATCTTGTTAATATTTTAACTGTTTAGAATTAAAATTCAATAGCTCACAGCATTCCACTTAACTATTTATAAAAATGCCTTGATTTTTTTTTTTTTCATATTGCACTCACCTCACAAACTATGTATGGCACTGTGTCTCCTGCCCTCAGCTTTTTCCCACCTTTAGTGTTAAATCGTAAGGCAACCTGCACATGGGGCAGGCTTTTCATGTCAGGGTAATCTTCTGGGTTTTTAGTCAGTTGCTGGAAATGTCAAATATAAACTTAAGGCTCCCAGCACTAAAACTGCAACAGTTAAAAAACTGAACATGTAGAATGAAGAACAATAAAGTCATTTTATTTAATTTGTATACATCTTGAGTTCAAATTAAAATGTCCAGTGTGATAATTGTTTTGCTTTGTGTTCAAAATACATAGAAAACTTCTTTATTAAATGACCACACCTCAGAAGGTTTTCATCATAACTACCCGATGTTCATTAGATATTTGCCTGGTTACCTTAGTGATATAGAAGAGCTCTATATCAAGTTTTCCCGCTCTTGCTTCTTCTCCAACTTCCGTAAGACGGGAGTGAATGTTCTCAACAATTGTCTCCCTTGACTGCCCAGACAGGATTTGACCGACAACAAACCTGAAAAATGACAGCTCTTAATATCAGGTTTAACATCTATAAAATGCTGTGTCACTAATGTTAACTTTAGCATACTTTCAACATTTCACTTATTATGATCCTAAAATTTATTACCTGAAGTCTGAAGCAATTATATTATTTCAAAAAAGGACAGTGTTGAATGGTGTATATGGTGTTTTTAGATCATTGTCAGGTGTTGCTTTAAACACTAAAGGTCATTGGAAGTGAGCAGATAATTTTCAACTACTACTTATGCTAAAGCTTTTTATTTTTTTTACAGTACAAGTACAGGGCATTGATCTTATAGCCATCTCAGACTTACTCGCCAGCTTTCTTGGCCAAGTCGCACCAATCCCTTCTTACAATGTCCAAACCTTTCATCTCTTGTGTGGTGATCTCCTTCCCATCTGGCCCTCGGGTGATACTGAGAGCGGCATATTTCTTCTTCTTTAGAAGCAGCATTGACTTAAAGACACCATCAATATCAATCTCCAGAAGGCGGTACAGTTTGTTGACTTCACTTTTTACCTAAAAGAAATAATGGTAAAATTTGTGAAAAAAAATGAAAGTAAGTCAGTTCTTAGAACCTACTGAAAATTAAAGTTAGACAACAACAAAAAAGAAAATCAACTATTTTTTTATGTAAGGCTTAAGTTTTATATTTATGATTTTGTGGGAAAAAAATTCAGATACTTAAATTGTGAAAATTTACTGACCTTATTGCCAAGTTTGAAAACTTGGTCCAGGTCAGTGCTGTTGGAGTTGATCATAATGGAGTCAGTGTCTCCATAAATAACATCAAGGTTCATCTAATATACAGGAAGAGACGTAATAATTCAATTTTGAAAAGTTTTATTTTATCAACATTAAGTTTGGCAATGTTACTCAGTGAAAGACTGAAACATATGCTAGCTTTGGGCAACTCATAGAATATATATAGATATGGAATTTTATTGAAGAAAGGTTATATAGATTGGCCCAATCTAAATTTCTAGCAAGAATATTGTAAATAATATATTTTCACTAAACTTCCAACAATGAGATTCACACCATATCTTTTATAATGTATAAAGCAAAGGGGACATTACTTAATAAGTCAAACTCACACTTTGGACAAGATCCTTGGTCTTCAGAAGAATCTGTGGGCAAAGCCAGAAAATAGTAAATTTGTAGGTACAATTTTTACATTTGAAATTGTTAAAATTGGGTTTAAAAAATATGTTTCCACATTATTACAGAATCATTAAAATGCATTTTAAAATGCAAAAATGTATATTGTACATTTATAAAGTAAACAAAAAGTAAAATATCTGTCAAATTATGAGATATGGAACAAATCATTTAACCCCTTAAGAAAAATTTAGGGGGGAAAAAAAGTATAGTCATCTGTCATTCAATAATACGTTTTTGACAATACTTTTCACTTGAAATTCAAATTATTGGGATGTTATTTATGCTTTAAACAGTTTTCTAGTCCAAAAAAAAATAATTAAAAAGAGAGATAATTGAAAGTTTACCTCTCTCCCTTTGCCAGTAACTAAAGCAGCGAGAGGTTTGGCATAGAAGCGAGAAAATGTGAATCCTAGACATCCGTACATAGAGTTGGCCGTTAGTTTTAGAGCTTTCTGCCTGATGTCATACTGCATCATTTGCTCGTGTGTCACGTCGCCTTTCATCAGTGCTCTCACCTGTAAAGGCAATAAGTGAATTTATGACCTAAGAAAATATTGGATGAAATGTGTAGACTTCCCATAAAAATTCAAAATTTCATGCCAAAGCAAAAAAAAAAGACTTTCTTCTGTGTTTCAACTTCTTGTTTGGTCAGCAAGTAATCTAACAGAATATAACAAGCATCTTCAGCCATACTCTTTCACTCTACACTATTTATATCAAACTGTTGTTTTCTAAATTTCATAATTTTAAACAAGATGAATGACAATAAATGGCAGCTATTTTGGTCTATTTACCTGTTTTCTGCTGTCTACAAGTTTTCTAATCTCAGTGGGTAGCACACCAGGCTCAAGGTCAGGGTCTGGAAGTATTATGTTTGCGATGTCATCATCAGCCTTTTTTTAAAAATAAAAAATGAGTAATAAAATTATAATTTACCAGCTGTGGCCACGCAATCTGTTAAGCATGCAAATGTGGGAAGAGGCGTATAATACATAATAATTCCATACTATGCTCAAGATGTCAACCAATTCTTAGAGCAACCACATGTGGAAAAACAGCACTGTGGGTAACCAATGTGTACATTTGTTGCGTAGGTGATCAAGCACACAACGGGAAAGCAAAGAATGGAAGCACAGCATGGTACGCAATGAGAAAGGGGTGGACCAGAAAGATTTACTTGGAAATTATTATCACCATTGGGCATCGTTAATAGTACATTGTAAAATGAAGGATAAATTGTGTACAAAAATTAAAATCTCATTTTTTTTACTGCAAAAAGCTTTAGTTGAGAGTGCAAGCCGTAAAAAGTTTTTAGAAGGGGTTAAACTGTATTACCTTTCTTTAGCAGGGTGGACAACATCTACCCAGCAGGGTGGACAACATCCACCCTGGAATTATTATTTTAGATTATTATCTGACCAACCTAAATAATTTTATGAAACCGGTGTGTGCTGAAACTAGCAATACTTTAAAATACTAATACATACATCCATACATAGCAACAAAGATAAGTTAAATTATCTTCTATCTAAGTGGAGTCATGTAATTATGTATTTTAAACAAAGAATATTGGCTAAAATTATGAATTTCACTTTAGGGGAATAATTTTATCAGTGGTCAAATTAAAATCGTGTGAAAGAAATCTTCTACAAAGAAACTGATCTGCAAAGATAGACACCAATCTGCAAAGATAGAAATTGATCTGCAAAGATAGAAATTGATCTGCAAAGATAGAAATTGGTCTGCAGAGATAGCTACTGATCTGCAAAGATACTGATTCAACTTGATAAACTATATGAATCAAAACCTATTTTGCCTCAAAACAAAAACAAACTATCAGGTCAATCATTAGAAGAATGTCAGCAGATCTGACGAAACAGGGAAAAGTAGTCAGCATTATCTGGGACAGGGACAAGGTGGCAGCAATCATTTGAGACAGGGACAAGATGGAAGCAAACATTTGAGACAGGGACAAGTTGGCAGCAAACATTTGAGACAGGGACAAGTTGGCAGCAAACATTTGAGACAGGGACAAGATGATAGCAAACATTTGAGACAGGGACAAGATGGATGCAAACATTTTAGACATGGACAAGGTGGCAGCAAACATTTGGGAATTCTCTAATATTCCAATTACTTACTGTAAATTAGTTTTTCCTCTTGGGTTTTATAGTTTATTGTTTTAGCCTTTTTGACAGTCATTTATTATTTTTTGAAACCATGGCCATGCCTAAGGGAGAGAGGCATTGAATTCTGAGATGTACAAGGTTTAAAACATTAAAAATGAATGATGCTCACATTTTCTGTATGGGACTCTGGAGCCCTGGATATTGTTGTGAAGCAGATGTTGTACTCTTGAATGATAGATGGATACAAGGAGTTGAAATCTAGCAGCAAAATGAATGTGTCATAGAAACCTGTGGACAAACAGTTCAACCAAATTATAATTGCACATTGCCAGGCAGTGGAGGTCTGGTCTACAAAGGATGCAGATTTTTGTATAGCATATTTTGCAACATTCTTGATTTGTTAAACGGACTGCAGCATTATGGAAAAGAAAAAAAAATAATAAACCATCAAGTCACACACAAAAAAGAATCACTTAAACATAAAAAAAGAAAATGCTACTGAGTTGGCTAGGACGGAGTTACCTTTCTTTGGTTCCAATACAAGACCGCCAGCATAAGCAGGTTTACGTTTGCCACCAGCAGCCTTTTTGGTTCCACCTTTATCAAGTTCTTCATCATCTTCCATTACTACGGGCTGGACAAAATGGAAGAGATTGAATGTAATATTTGCTGTAAGAAAAGTACTTCATCATTCTACCTAAAAGGTTCTATCCCTACTTCATGAGGATGTATTTAAATGAATAGGTCTGTGGGCCTATTGCTTTTTGTTTTAACCAAGAGGGCATATTTATTTTATTATTAAAAACAAATCACTCACAGTTTGATTCTTCTTGAATTCTTTGTCTGGACAGATGTACTGCTTCTCATGGAATGCATGCAACAAAAGCCACTCGTTCCTCTCTGATCTGCCTCCCATCAATGTCCTAGACTGAGTAAGAACAAGAGTTCACAAAACATAATATTAACAATTAAGTTGTTTGTTGTCGACAAGTCAGGGAGTTGATTTAAAGATGTCAAGAGCATATGAAAGAAAGGATTTATTCTCTAAAGATATCAGTTTGAGACTGCAGAAGAGGCTTATGTGTTGTCCAGGAGCTTATCAAGTCATGTGCTTACCAGTCAGCTGCTTACGAGTCAGCTGCTTACGAGTCAGCTGCTTACGAGTCAGCTGCTTACGAGTCAGGTGCAATGCAAATTCAAGATTCAAAAAAGTAACCAACCTACAAACATAAGGGTAAGACCTTATGTCCTCTCTGAGGGAAGTGGCAGTGTTAAATATGAACATCTTATTCCCACTATATCAGTTAAGACAAAGGTCCTCAAATAACAAAAAAAAGCTAATTATTCCATAGTGCATGCATATGATAAATACGTCAACAGCCCCTTTAAACTGCCTGGTCTTTTCTTTTCAATCCTGAACTTAACTTGTCTATTTATTTACTTTAAATTGCATGTGAAAGTGAATGGCAACTCCTCATAAAACCATAGAATATTTCAATGAAATAAATGTCTAGCCACATCAACTTTGATAGTATTCTCACCATAACATTCCCACAAATATTTGTGATCTGCAAGGCCAGGGGGATGGCGTTAAGTTCGTAGATGATTTGAAGGATGTAGGTCGAGTCCATCAAAGTCAGCTCAATCAATTTTAGAAGTTGTTGACTTGAACTGTAAAATAGTTACTACATCTTGGTAAAAATGGAAATGTTATTGTGAAATTTGACCCATATACTGAGTTAGATTTTTTAAAACTGTTAATCAAAACCAGTCTTTTTTACACCATTAAGTAAGCTTTGTTTCATGTCTGCCAACAGTTTTTAACACTTCTACCAAACAGCTTTTCTTGAATGTTTATAACATGTACTTTTGGTGACTACCATTGTAATTTTTGGGCCATAATAGTAACCTTAATAGTATTCTGAATAAGGCTACATCAAAAATGAACAGAGCTCCATTGTTTTTCAGGAAACGTCATATAGGGCGGCTGGAATAGCTGTTATTTTGGGAAGGGAGGTGTTGGGAGGTTCATGTTAGTAGATTCTCGCTTCTCAAGATGGAACGGATCATTCCTTTTCATAATTTTACTTTTTAGGCCTTCTAGACTTCTGAGAATTTAGGGTTTAACGATGGAAGTTTAGGAACTTCCAGTGGCAGGAAATGGAGGTCAGGGTTAGATTAATAGGTTGTGTCAGTTCTGGACCACCCATGGAGGTAAAAAATCATTTTTAAGATAGAGAGCTCTTTGTGGCTTAGACAGTGATGTTAGAGATTTCTGGATGATCGATCTGAACTGTCACACCAAGTTGTAGTCGTAGGCCAAGATAAACCTAGCAGACCTGGCTACCCTTGTACTCCTAAACTTAAAGCATACAATGTCATCTCAAAATAGTGCAATACAGTTTCTTAATAACTATTTCTTAATAATAATCATGCCACATGTCTGGTGGGATCCAGTTAAGCTGGCGTAAAAAAAAAGGTAACTTCCAAAAAGTAGATAACTGACGTCTATATTGTAATCTGTGGTCACTTTGTTTTTGTTTTGCAGACGTGTATCTGCTATAGATATAAAAATAATATTTGGGTGAAGGTGCAGGTCACTGGTAAAAAAATTACTAGTGAAATTTAACGTGGTACAAATTTGAAATCAGCTCCGCATAAAATAAAATTTAATGAAATCAGAATTAAAAAATTAGGATCTCATTTGTAAAACCTACCAAGTAACTTTGATTTACTTTTTAGATTTCAAAGGCCCTCCCAGATCTTATAAAATGTGGAAATTTAATGCTGCTCTGCGGAACAGTTGAGGATACGTTCATATTTATTTTTTAAAAACGAGTTTGATCCGTTTTTACACTCGCCGCGGTTCAGGGGAACTAAATTATGTCACAAAATTACATCATTCTTCACAGAAGCAAACAAAAGTGAGGATTTACTAAAGGGTGTCAATATGGCGACTATGCTAATATTACTGATGCTGCGTCTGGCGAATTCATTATGAAAACACAGAGGAACAAATGTGCCAATCTCAAGTTCATGGTCTGGATTTTAATCCCCACCAAAGCCGAGTCATGCAAAAAAACATCACCAGCACCCCGGGCTAAATTCAAGCCCGTAGATGGAGCCCCGTTGGCAGATAACAATAAAACATTCCTGCGACGACACTGGTGCCAAGCTGTATCATCCACAATCCTAAAAAGAATAATCCTAGGCCTTCATCTACACCGTTGTCACTTTGTGACAGACGGATGCCAGCAAAAATATGACCATCATTACAAAAAGAGCAGGTGTTATTTTCAGGCTTAAATATTTTGAAACCTCCCCCAGCACACCTGTATGTATACAACATCTAAATCAACACCACCCGCTTCCCCTCTCTTTAAACGCAATATAATTATAGATGGACTCAAAACATATTTCTCAATCCATTCACTACTGGATATAGAAAGGAGTTAAAACAAATAACCAAAAAATTAACTTTTAAATTTTTTTATGTGGGAAAAACTACCTGAAAATTTTCAAATAATGTCCTTTAAACTTGTAGTTTCAACAGGCCTGGGCATAAACTCGTAAACAGGCATCACAAAATTATTCATTGAAATGCCAAAATAGTTGGAGTAAACAGGTCTGATCTGGTGATGGACATTCAAGTGTTTGGAAATAACGAATGGATTTGTCATTCTATCAATACATTTTTTTTTAGCTGTTGCCAAGAGATTTATGTGTCTTGTTTTTTCTTTGATGTTCTTTTCAAAGCGTAACGGCCCGGTATTGGTCACAATAACAATACTGCTTGGAATTTGAACATAGGTTTAAGCCATATCCTCATAAAGAGGACCTAGTAAATTTAATTTAAGGGCAACCATGAAACACTGTGGCTCACTCAGAAGATCACAAGTGGGTGGACATAATAAACTCTTCGACAACAATGCTTTAGTGCAACAAAGAGTGTCCCTCATCAGTTGTTTTCTCATACACAAAATTACAATTTTGACTGCACTTGTAAAAAAAATTTAATTAACACATTTTTTACATTCTTTTTAGCACTTTAGCAAAACAGTTCGATTTATAGAAGCTTATAAATTTTAAAAATTATGTTAAGTACAATTATAAAACTTGTTTGGGAGATTTTAATATGTATACATGTACTTACGAGAACATCTCTCTGACTTGATCATAGTCGACCTCTACACGCTTGCTCTTCAGCACCTGACTAGTCAATTCTGTGAGGTCATAACTACGGCAGCGAATCAGCTCTTTTGCAGAAATTTGCACGTCACACAACATCCGCCCACATACTGCAGACTTTTCTGCAAAAGTTGCTCTCCCATGATTGTGCTATGAGAAGTGGAAAGAGTGAGAAGTGGATTAACATTGAATCAAATAAACAAATCTTTTGGGGGTAAAAATGTGATTCACAACTTTTTATGTCAGTTATGTCCATTTGATACAAAGTTTTATATAATCAGTATTTAATTTATCTTGCTTTTTTTCATTTTAAATCACAAGTAGTATAATGAATAGCAACACAGCAGAAAACTGTTAATTTTTTAAGTGTTTCTAGCATAACTGTGTATAGAAATGTTCTCCATGGAATAAATAAGTCACCCACGAAATCAAGTTTTGAACATACTGCTCCCAACAAACAAAACAACCTACACTGATCTTTGGCATGACGGTTCTCTTGAGTCTGCTAATTTTAGACCAGTGGGGAATTTTGTTGGCACTGATGCGATGGAGGAGCAGGTCAAGGTCAAAGCCATAAATATCATGTCCCTGAATAAAACATTGAAATGTTAAAATCATGCAAAAATTTGTCAGAACACTCAAAAAGTTTCATTCTACAACTCATGAGAAAACCTACAGAATTAGATGACGAAAAATTAACCTAAAGGAGTGAAATAATATTTACAACCTCAGGAGTTTTATGTTGAAGAAAATGTAAACAGAAAATCTTACCACAATTAAGTCAGGATCAATTTTGTGAATTCTAGCCAGCAAAAATCCAATCAGCCCCCTCTCACCTGGCATTATGTCAATTTTCATACGATTGGTCTGGGGAAAATTTATATGAACTTTCAAAGTATATATTATGTTAAAATTTATGTCCATACTTAAAAAAGTTGCACTACAATACTTGAGATGTTACATGGTATAAATTAAAATGTCTAATTTGACTGCAATTGAAATAGTAACAAAATGGCAGCTTAAAGAAATGGTACCATTTTTTTAACCTGTTCCCTGAAATCAAAAGGGAAGATAAGATCTGAAGGTTTGCTGATAACTGAAATAAAAAAGAATAAAAATCAATTTAAATTTGAAAATAAATTAAATTGAAACATTTTGTTGTTTTTTTACAAGGATATTTTTTTTTCTGGTATAATAAAATGAGATATCATTTTGACTGTCCAATACAAAACAACTGAATAGAAGTTAGCCGTTTTTAAACTATTTTTTCTTCTTACCACAGAAATGTTGCTGAAAACGTTGGCTAGGAGCAGGCTTGTCCATGTAAAAGTCATGATGTATCAAGCAAGCTGCAGCCACAATCTGGTGAGAGATTATATTTATTGTAGCATTAATTTTTAAAAATTGACAAATTCTGGTAACGTACTTTTAACAATAATTTTTCTGAGTGCATTTAAATTATAATTCACTAAATAGTATTGTTAACTGTAATAAATATATTTTCTATTAAAGAAATCAGCAAAATTTAACTACTTGAATTAGCCTTTAGTTGTAAACCTATTTCTACATTACAATACAAGTTAATAAATAACTACTACAACATATAAAAAAAAGAATAAAGTACGTATTAGACAACTAAATTTTAATACAAATCATTTTAAAATGTATTGATCTTTCTCATGATTCAAGTTTTTTCATTTATATTTACCTCATTCTGACGAGTCTTTGGGTTAGGCAATGTCTGCAAGTTCAAGGTCATAACTACCAATGGAGGTGGCGGTTGATTGGTCTCACTGATTACAACATGTTCAGGCTTGGATATGACAGCCTGGTGCAATACATCATGGAATAAATTATAATTTTATATTCTAGGAAAAAGTGTAAAGTTTTTCATATTTTCAACCCTTAATGAAAGTTTACATGCAAAACAATAAAAAGCATGGAGATATAGCATAAATGTCAAGTATGCTGAATTTGATATAGAAAAATCTATGTATCCACCCAGTTAACAAGAGAAATGAATGACTGTAGCTGGTGGATGTGGGAGAGTTTTGCAGTTTGAATAAAATAGATTGGGCGTGGAACATCAGATGTCTTACCTCAAGTTTGCACCAACTTGTAGCAGCAGATGGAATCTCTGGAAACAAAAGTTACTGTAAAACTAAAAACTAAATAAGCGAGGGAGTTAACATTATAAAAATTTAACCCTTATAATTCAATGAGCTGTTTTCCATAACTTAAATTTTTTTTTTAAATTTCATTTTGGAATGATGAATTCAGTGAAATATGTTAAAAATAGTGTACTCAAGTATATGTAGCCTTTTTTTGTCAGTTCTATTTCTATGTTTCCCTTTTTTTTAAAAAAAGGAATTGAAATAAATACAAATACAATTCTTACTTACGTGGAAATTTCAAATCAAGCCAAGCTGGACCTTTCATTTTTTGATTCAACAAAAGATGTTCTAGGCTGCGTGTAAAGAAAATGGAATAGTGTTAATTATTTGTATTAATAACTGCTACAGTTTGAGATCAGATGATACATACAAAATTCCAATATAACACCATAGTCAACGTTTTACGCATGCCATAAGTTAAAAGAAAGAGTTTGTTAAATAATAATATATTATCTTATTAACATCTTTTCCACATTAAAGATGTTAATAAGATAATATATTATTATTTAGCAAACTCTTTCTTTTAACTTATGGCATGCGTAAAACGTTGACTATGGTGTTATATTGGAATTTTTTATGTATCATATCATGACTAAAATGATGAGAATATATTTAAATATTTTATGGAGGTGGTAATTTTTATTTTTTAAATTAAAAAGTAACTAAGTTCACTATTCACCCAGAGATCCTGTGACCTCTTCAACCTAAAGCTCTTAACTTTTTCTTTACATTTATTAAAATTACCAAACTGTTTCGGGACATGCACCATGGATTTTTTAAAGCTTTTTAGACAAGTTTTGTTTAGGTAATGGCTTTTGAATATTAAGTTGTAGCCAGATCTGATGGAACTGTAAATGATCAAGTAATACTGTATGAAACACACTGAACAAAAAAAAGTTTTGATTGCAATATCTGAAACAAGGTATGACACGGTCCTTACAACCTCTAACATGCACTAGTATACACACTATACATGTGTTCAGCACATACCTTGAAGTTTTGGTTCCAAAAATATGACTAAATGTTTCACCTTTCAAATCTGAGGGCAAAGTTGGTAGGTCAGCCTGTAAGATTTATTGAAATTTTTGTAATGTTTATTTGGTTTAAAAACTTTATGGATATTTCCCCCACTAAGCAGTTAAAATCAACTCCATACAAAGATTTAACAGTAAAATTTTGTCACATTTAATTTTGAAATGTAAAAAGGTTCCAGTTTTTTTATTACTAAGTACAATAGTATTAAAAAATAACATCTGTCATTAAAATGTTACAGATATTTTCATTCTGCACTAGTACTATATTAAATGATAAATGAATTCTTTGCATTAGGGCAGCTAAACACTTTTTAAAGACAAACAAATTTTGCATTTGTATCATATTTTACTCTAAGACTTTTTTATTGCCAGGATTTAGTCCCTCAACTAGTAACTTTAATGTCAAATAAAAATAGCATAGCCTGCAATGTTAGCCTCTATTGCCACAGATTCAAACAATTCTGTTAAAGAATCTTCAAAGTACAGATACTGCATTTGACTTTGGGGAAGGTGACATTGGAGGAGTGGGCTTGCTTTATTTCGTTAAGTCATCTTTGATAGTTTGGAAAAATATTGTTAGTATACAGGGAACAAATGGACATTTACACTTACAGCGTAACGAACTTCCAAATAATCTGCTTCCACTGGCACATCCAGCTTGTCAAAAGCATAGTTTTTCTTTACTTTCTAGCAAAATGAACATTGAAGAATAAATGGTTTTTCACTCAATGAAATAAAAGTCTGATAAATTTTGTAAATATTTCCAGGATGTTAAACGGTAAGTTTTAACCATGTCTCAAAATATTCCTTCAACAGTTTATTTTTTATACGAACTAATCTCTTGGGTTGGGTTTTTAATTTTTTCTTATTATCCTTTACATAAGTGTGTGCCTAACAAACTGATCTAATAATTTCAATGCCTTGAGTATGAGAAGCAACACTCAAATTTAATGGTCTAACCAGCCGTTTAATCCTTGGGCTTTACTTTTTCCTGTGATTCCATTTTGTTTAACATATTTTAATTATTGTTTGTAAAGAAATTTTTTGTGACATATTTAAAGAATGCAATGCTTGTTTTATCAAAATAGCTGCACCTGCAAGTAAAAAATTTAACTGAGATGGGCTGAATGTTACCATTGATCTAAACTTGTCTATTCTGTTCTTGTCTGCAAGTCTGTTAAACTCTTCATAAACCATTGTCATTGTGACGTCTTCAGATGTCTCCAGATTTGTTTTCAAATTTATGCGCTGCAATACAAGGTGCAAATTGTACTTTATATATTTTTGTTTGGTCATTTCATATTGGAAGGATGAAAAACATTTCTTTTTCAAATGATGTTCAAATGTTTTATAATACCGTAAATGAAACCAACAGCATACTTTTATCCTTGGTAAAATGAAGAGCCTTCTCTCAATGTTACGAACAGTCACACAGCAGCTCACATAGGACTTGATTGACTCCACATAAACCTTACCAAAAAGATACACAACTCCTGGAAAAAAATTTAACAGTTTCATAACAATTTAGAGTATTCGTCACTCTTTTTTTTAACCGATTTTTAATTTTATATGTAACAAAATTTTGGTTAACCATTTTTGAATTTACAATCCACAAGGAAAAAGAAAGAGGAAGGCCAAAGAATACATCGAGATGCAAGCTTAAGGCAGACATGCAAAATATGGTATACGCCTGGAAGCAACTGGAAAGGAAAGCACAGGACTGTAATGAATGGAAAAATCTTGTGGACAGCAAATACCCCAGACAGGGGTAAAAAGTCATAAGTAGAAGATTTTTGAATTTCATTTAAAAGGCACACATGTATATTGGATTAATCTCGGGTGGATGGGACTCTTAGATGAGTTGCCTGCCAACAAACTTCTGGTATCCCAAGTTTACAGTACTGCATGTCCAACCCTTTTAAAGAAAAGGAGGGGACCATGTTTATAAACTACGGGTAAGTTTAATGTATATATGAAATTTAACAAAAGTCATTAAAAAATAAACTGGGATTTATTTATAGTAAATGAAATGGAAGCTTGTTGCACTTATATTACCACTTGTTTTATCAAGTTTGTATATTATAGTTTATAGTATAATTGTATTCTATTTGAAGAAATACAGAGACATTTCTTATTAATCCATCAGGGTCAAAACTTTGATTTTCTAAACTTGAGTTCTAGATAATGAACCTTAAGACCGAAACAACTCTTAGGTGGGTTTGTAACCTCATTTAATGAAATCCACACAAAAAAATCATTTATAAATTGTCGTAATTATCACTATTGAGATAGAATCATTTTCCTAAATTTTGCAAATGTGTAATTTCTAATTCTAAAAATGAAATATTTCGGGGCAAAAGTAGCCACCAGTTTATAATGGCTAGCTCCCATAGATTAGCAAAAGTAGAAGCACTCTGACTGGGCAAAACTAATGGCAAAATTAGCTTCACTTTTTAATTTGTATTGGCAAAAGTAGCAACACTATTGGCTAACTCTAATAAATTCGCAAAAGTAGCAACACACAGTATTTGCAAAAGTAGCAATACAGTGTATTGGCAAAAGAAACAACGCTATGTATTGGTTAGCTCCCATAGATTACCAGTATTTCCACTTTGAGCTGAGATAACAGCTCTCATGTGAGTGTTTTTACTAAACCCTTTAAGTTCATGTCATGGAATCTATTGAATACTAGTAATTATACAGTCGTGAGCAGAAGGTTTTATTTTGCATTTTCCATTAATTTTTTCAACATAATATTCGATATCTCCTTTAAATTTTAACTCATCTAAAAAGCTGACATCAAGGTAAAAAAACCCCCCACAAAATCTAAGCTTAAAATTAAAAATTTGTATGTTGGCAATGGAGGGAAAACAATACCTGTATTAAATTCAGTTAAAGGATTAAAAGATGCAGATTTTAAGTTGGGGTTTGACTTTAAGTAACCTATCTAAAAGAACTTGTTGCCAAACATGTATCCTTCAAGAGGCTGGGCTCTACATCACTTTACCTACTGGGAGTTCCCAGTGTGAATGGACACAGGCCTCAGAAATGCGCTCTTTTCAAACTATAGGGTCTAAATTATTGAAAAGTTTGCCTCAGTACTTTTGGGATTTTTAACATTTAAGAGACATTTAAAGACATTTGTTTATATGACAGTGCTCTTTGAGTATGCTAGACTAGCATGAACACAAGTGATATCAAAGTAATCAATCATCAAGTTTATGGGTACTGAATGACCTCAATGTAACTGGTACTGGGTATATTAGGAAATGTTTGTGTAATTTTTTTAATGAGATCTTATTAAAAAGAAATTGTATTCCTTAAATTTTAAATGAATTTGTCCACAATGGTGATTACTGATAGTGAAATGGTTAAAACATGAAAGACAGTTGGGCCTATACTCTTAAACTCAAGTCTATGAACAACTGATTTTTCTTGGAAAAGGATGGATCCACTGGCTTTGATTGCTTGGAATTAAATTTTATGAAATGCACTTTTATTATCCTGAATTTTACAATTGACATTTCAGAAAATACCTGCTATTTTGAAGTCATTCAGTAATCATGTACTTATGAGTCACATCTTTAATCATCTCAATCTGAGCCAGGCTTTTGGTGGGATATGGTTTGTTTAATTTGGCCATCTAATTAGTTTATCGATTCAGCAGGGTAAATACAAATTCCTTATTTCACAAAAACTGCAAAATTCATTTTGTCTGCATTTATTCATCTACATGAGACTTCCCTTGTTACATGCATTTAATTAAATATACCTAAATTTTATATTCAATTCTTTGAGTGTTTTTAAGTTTAGGGGCGCTCTAGTGCCTTTGTAAATATACTGATGACTTCAATAATTTCATAACAAGCATTAATCATTTAGTGTGAATGAATAACTTTTTCAGGAGTTAAAGATTGTAGAACTTTGCTAAAGCTGGGTAGGTTGATTAGATCAACTCTAGCTTATAATGGAAGCTGCTGTATATTGAAAAATGTGATGACCAACCTGGCTGATGGTAGGTGTCTTCATAAGCATCCAGCCAATAAAAACGAAGCACCTGATCCCCGGCCGAGTTACTGACCAAAGGCAGCTGAGATGAGTCCACTTGCACATCTGCTGGAGCTTCAGAAATCTCAGAAATATTCTCCCAACCAAGATTTAAAACTTCCTCACTGTATGGGACACAGATTTATATACAGTCACATTGACAGACAAAAAAAAACATAAGAGGTAAAGTCAAATTTATTCGCAAAGACAATGAAGAATTTATAAGTTATGAAGGGCTTGTCTAGAAGGGCTTGTCTAAAATAGCAATTAACTTTCCTTGCATAAATATTAAAAATGAAATGAAACGTTTTAAAATCTAATCTTTGGTATCTGTTAGTGGCAAAGGTTTTCTATAGAATTCCTAACACAACCAGGCAAAGAATAAACAAACGTTGCATAGGCAGAGAAATACATATGTAAAATCCCTGTGGTGCAACAGTCAGCGAAGGGCAGTCTAATAAATGATGCACCCATCAATCCATCCCAATGGGCTACAAACTTTCTTCCACTTTTATCGCAAGAAGACCTAAGCGATGACTTTCCCATGCTTGGATTCCAAACTGCTGCAATCTGTTTCTCAACAATGCAGCTAGGCCTAGGTCTGCCTTTTAGCCTTTTCCTTTGGGATTTTGGCGGTGAACCCTTTTACTTTTCATATGGCATCATTCTAGGTGTTGTGCCCAGCGCAGACGCCCTTTGCCTTTTTATATACTTCCATTAGCGTGTATATATAAATGTACATAAATGTGCCAGAAAAGGAGCCACCTAGTTTTTATCATGTTACCAATGAGCCCACTAGATCATAAAATGAGGTATATTATAATATAGAATAATGCCATCAACAAGGTTGAGACAGAAACAATAACCCATAACTATAACTGTTTGCCAGCAGTCATGGTGAAGCAAAACAAACCCAAGATTAAGCCAGAATACAATGTACAAAGTTTCATTTATATTTTATTTGTCTGTGAGGCACTGCATAAGACATGTATCAATTTCAAGTATCAATTTCAAGCTTTTATCCAAGTATAACGAAACTACTTAATTTCTATTTGTCTTAGCTCATAACACAACATGTTCAAGTACTTTTAGTCACTATCAAGTACTTGTCTTATTAGGACCATTTAACCAAATGCGTTGCTTGTGAATTCAGACAGACTGAAAAGATATCCTAGTATGATGTTTTCACCCCAACTGAATGTCTTGCAATCAAGATAACAGTTAAAATTGTTCCTAGCCTCATAGAAAGGGTTTGCATATCTAGGATGTAAAAAAAATGCCTATAAATTCTTCATATAATGAAACAAAGGTCTCTATTTAGATGCAGAGTAAAGGGTTTAACACGATGTGTTGGAGAATTTCACTATATCTACATATCCCTTTAGATTCCCTCAACAAAACTAAACCAACTACTTTTAAGTACTTGGTATCTATAAATAAACATCTACTCAAAAGGTTCATTCCGGAAGTGAAGCTCACTGATACAAGCTAAGCAAAATGTGGCAACATATTAATGTCATCTCCATTTTCTAGCAAAGAGGGATATAGCACATATCTTCTATATCTTAAGGGCACACTATCAATTTATTGATCATTTTGGCTCCTATGCATGTAGATGGGATTTGCAATGTTTCTGTTACTGGTGTTGATGAGGAAATCATGCACTAGGGGTTTGAAGGCTTGAGGCAATAGACATTTGTGTCTAGTGTTGTCGCCTCAACCGTTCCTTTTGAAAGATTGTTCCAGTCCCTGATTGTCTTGGGCAGGAATGAGCAGCTCCTATACTGGCTTCTTGCTGGTATGAGCCTGAATTGCCTGTCATGGCCTCGTCGCTGTCTATGGGGGAGAGGGACGAGTTTCTGTTTAATACTGGAACAGTGGACCAGCCCATTATTTATCTTGTACATCATGGAGAGCCTGGATTGTCGTTACATTTGTAAAGAAGGTTGCCAGGCTGGCTGGTTTGGCTTTTTATTAGAATCTTTTAAGATGTAGGTTACTCTAACCTCGGTTAATATATCAAGCAAAAGATAGACATCAGCTAAATAAGCAATATCAAGATAAACAAATTTTTTTTGTAGGTTGTGCTTTGTCCCTTCAGAAGGAAATCTTATTTTATGATCGATGAAAGTTTGAACTGTGACACAAACCTGCATTCACTGTGTTTACTTTTTTTTTTCCTTTCCTAAATTTGACGTATGTGAAGCTACAAATTGACAATATGGACTTGGGTCTCATCGTTGTGCAAAAAACATTAAAAAATCTAATAAATGCAGACGTACTATAAAAATCCTTGGTAATGCAAAGTAAATGCAAACTGACAATGATATGAATGCATTAGATTATAAAAGACCAATTAAATACAGACAAAACAACAGACGAAACAATTTGTTAAATGAAATGCTACAACTGAAAGTTCTAATTAAAATATAGGTAAAAACTAATCAAAAGGACCTTAAAATTAGAATGCAGAGACAGGGTCTGCAAACTAATGCACTCATGTAGATCCCACTTATCCATGACAAATTTACACAAAATTATCAAGTAACCGATCTGTTTACCCCTTAACCCCAAATGTACATTATCATCTCAAAATCGCACAGTACAATATTTTAATAGTAAATAAATAAAATAAACACCCTATATACAATGTATACAAAACATTGTGTCAAAGTGGAATCTAGCGAAGCTGACGAAGAAAAGTAACTTCTTTAAATACATGACTGACTTTCACTTCGTTTTGCAGACATGAATCTGCTATAGAATTGGGAATCAAAATTTAGGTAATGTACATATCAGTCTGTCACTGGTAAAAATAAATTTTCTGGTGATTGTTTTTTCAACCTCGAAGATTAGCAATAAAATTTAAGAAAAAAATGTTAAAATTAGGGCGTCATTTAAAAAAAAAAAAAAATTGGATTACATCGGATTATTTTTTACGAAATTTTTTTTTAGAATTAATATCCATTAATGCCTATTTAGCACTGCAGCCTGATAACTATCACACGCTTAAAATGGGTGAAAGGGTATTGAAACTCAGATGTTTAGCTGTTTAAATGGCCCTCTCAGATCCAAAAATATCTGTGGAAATCTATTACTTCGTGGAATAGTTCGGAAAGCATTCTATAGTTCTCTGCACTCACCCACCCCAGTTCAGCCGTAAAAAATAATTATCACACCATACAGCACGGGCAGGGCTATTTTTGGCCTGTCTGAAAAACCTATGTACTATCTGCCGATTTCAAATTGGTTATTGAGGTCGTTGTCAAAATTTAACATATTTTAACTAAGTAAATTTTAAATGTTGCAAAAATAGTTTTGTTTAACACAAAGAACCAAGAAGAAAGTGATAAAATATTACTTTTTTTTATATTTAAATACCTGTACTGATGGGATTAAATATGATATAAATAAGTTTCCACAGAATCTTGAACATATGCATTTTAAAAATTTCAGCTAACATCCCCTAAGGTAAAAAGTTTAGCTATATATGGTTGAAACATAGGTGTACCGGTACTAGTGTTAATAAGCCAAGGCTACGCTGCATCCAACTTGTATCGTGGCGTTTTTATTCTTAAAACTGGACGATTTCTTTCTTTCCATGTTTTCCAAGAATGCACGTTTTCCTAAATGTTTTCAAAAGCATTGCAAAGAATAATAGCTGGTCGAGTTTACGAGGTAATGCAGTAGGGCATTAAATAATGAAAGACTTTAAAAAAATTTCCCTATACAGTTAATAGACATTGTGCTTTCCTAAAAAATCTTTCAAATGTGGTACCATAATAAAGTTTATGATGTCTCAAGAGTATCGTGAATAATCCCCCCCCCCCCAAACATTTTTTATTTATGTAATAAATTTAATACTAATATACAAATATACTATCCCATAAAATACAAAATGAAATGTTCCTGAATAAAAAATGTTCCAGATTTTAAAAAGGAGCTGGTTAATTTTCTAGCCCAGTGTTTAATGATTTTCTCCCAGGATTTATTACATTACTTATTCTAAATCCAGAATACACCCGAAGTGTACTAAAAAATTCGAGAAAAAAGCAAGCCATTAGATAATTTCACAATTTCTGTTTCCAAATAATTAGAACAGAGGGGAAATTCCCATTTACATAAATACCAATTACTTATATTTAAAAAACAAGCCCTAAAAAGGCTTAAAACAATATTCAGTTTTTATTTTGCAATTCTTTGTTTTTAATCACAAGTAATAACAATCACTCGAGAATGAACAGGTAAAAGATTGTAACAAAGATCTATGTTTCATGCCATGACATTGCATAAGTAATTTGCGAGTAAGAATTAAGTTCACCAGAATTAAAGATTCAAATGACATAAAAGATAAAAACCTGAAAATTAACCCAGAGATTACTTAAGTTGGGATGTAAAAAATAGGGTGATCACAAGGAGCTATGTTTTGAAGACCATTTTTTCGGTTTGTAGAATTTGAAGAAATGTACAACGGCTACACATATCGTCATACCTTATTTTGGGTTTAATATCTTCAAGTTCATGCTGCTTATCCTCGAGGATGGATGTTTCAGGAAACTCAACATCATCATCAAAGTCTATGCCAGCTAAATCATCTGAACCAACTTCTGAAAATAAAAAGTTTTTGGCCCACTTCTTAAATTGATAATGGAAGCCTTAAGATGTTAATCAAGATATGATAGCCTTTTAAAATAATATAATTTTGAAAACAAAATATGTGGCCTAGCACAGCAATGAATTGATTTGGGCAAAAAATAATGTATTGATGAATGAACAGTCGTCAGGGCCCACCAAACGAGTGTGATATGAAAATTTCTCAATGGAACATGATCACAACCCGCCTGATGTTTCCAGCAACCTTTTCCTTGCTGTTTCATCTGCAGGCTGGGTGAGCCCCACCACTCATCAGTTTGGCTGTGATGCAGTGCAACACCAACACAGCCAAGCAGACAAGTGGCGAGAGTACCTCCAAAAAAGTCATTTGAAACCAATCATGAACATGACACTGCCCTGACAAAGCATACAAGCTACTAACAACGTCCCCAAATTTGCTTTACCCATCAAACTGGCTGTGATGTCAGCGTCAACACCATCACATCAAGATTGACAGGAAATGCAAATTCAACAATGTCAATACAAATGCATGATAAGTGATGTAAACCTGAATATATTTTGCAAGCCATATTGCCCATCAAAATGGCTGTGATGAAAAAAAAACATCCACATCCACATTGACAGGTGACATAGCAAGCCAACTTTCAAAAGATATCTGCAAAAACTAAAACAGGTAAAAGATGGGTTTGATGAGTCATGAAAAAAGTTAAACATGTCATGCAATTAATTAAATGTGAGATAAAATTGTTTAATGAAAGAATGTAATGAAAATGTGTAATAAAAATAATAGGGGACTAACGAAGCTGACATAGACACTCCTTTCTGCCCACTAATGGCTGTGATATGAAGAGTTAACAAATCACAACTATTAGGTGGGAAGAAAAATGTATTCATTTCATATGGTGTATGAGTCTAAATGGTTAAACTGACATTACTGTACTATTTAAAGTACCAAATTTTGGGCATCAGAGGTAAAGGATTGCAGGTCTCAATGCCTTCACTACAAATCACATCCACAACAATGTAAAATTACATGCGCAGGTTGAGACAAACATAAGCTGAGAAAAAGCAACCATACTGCCCACCTAATGGCTGTGATATGACATAAAACAAATCACATCCATTAAACAGGTAGAATAGTGATAAAAAATCGTGACGACTGTCAATATCCAAATTGGTGAACATCAGCTGGTACAGAATGGTAACTCTTCTTCCCCACCTAATGACTGTGATATGGCCAAACAACATATCAATGTCAATAAGAGGGCAAGGAAAAGTCCCTAGCTGATTCCAAGTTGCACTCAAATGTCTAAGGTATGTAACTTTCTACACCTGTTCTCAAATTTAACAAGTTGATGTAAATATGATGCTGGAATATCTCTTCCTGCCCACCTAATGGCTGTGATATGGCTTACAACACATCACATCCATCAAATAGGGAGGAAGGGACACAAGTTGTCCCTTGTAGAAACTTGGATATTCTGTTATGAAAAGGTAATGAAAAACCCACACACCCATCCAATGATTGTGATATGGACAAAAAAAGCACATCACATTCATCAAACAGGGTAGTAGATCCACAATGTTCAGTGTTCTGGTCAAAGAGTTTTCTTATGAAAAAAATCAAAGTGCTTGCCAACATACAAGTTCATAAAACTGTTCACAGGGGTATACTGGCTGTGATATGAATGTATTTTGAACATATCACAGCCTGTAAACCTCTATGACCATATTTAATCGATGGGGCGACCAAAATAAAGGACAAAACTTTACCGTATACTGGTGAATTTCCAAAAAGTCTCAGGGGTGTATTGACTGTGATATGGGACATTTAACACGTCACAAGACAATTACGCCCGTAAGAATAATTGGCCACATAATTGCTGTAGTTCACAAAAACTATTAATGAAATCAAAGCTGCCCCCGGGGAAGCATCGGCTGTGATATGAAATTGAGCAAATCACAAACCAATACAACCCAGTGGACATCTTTTCTTTTTTGTAATCTTTTCTCCTTTTTTTGGGAATTACTGGCTGCTCTTCACTGGGGATTATTGGCTGTGATATGAGACATGAACCATAGCACAAGCCAACAATCCTCGGTGACCCACAACTCAAAGGCAATGTAAACAAGTCGGCTAATCAACAGTTATCTCAAACCAGGTTTAGAACAGCTATGACAATACACAAAACAAACCTCCATTCCAATGAAACAATGCTCATTATCTTTCTGTCTCAACTAGCTTGCACAATCCCATCAGCAACTTATGACCCAGGACCTAAAAGCTCTTTCATCCTGACTAAACTGTAAAACTGAATGTATCCAAAGTAAGCAACCTGGTCAGTGGTGACACTTTTGATAACAGTAGCTGAGTCCACACAAAAAATAACCTAGTGTCCTCAGTGCAATCAAGAGTGAGAAGTGAAAAGTAAAAAATGAAACCCTCTTATATACTGGACAAGTGAACACAACTCAGGATGAACACACATACACAAACACCATGAGTGATAGTGGGGAAAGCTGGTGATTTTTTTTAAAAATTATTTACTAAGCTGTATTCACACACACAAAAAAATGGGTGGGGGTGAACTGTTGGATGTCAACAAACTCACACAACTTTAAAAATAGATTTAGCTGACTAGAATGTTTTTATCACAAGAATGAAATCTGGGATAGTGGGCTAACCTGTTTTGCTTTTTTCTTTTCTTTGTTTAATAGATGGGCTGGGGTCCTCTTCTCCTGGCTCTACTTTTATCTTTGTAAAATCTCTATTTTTTGGTAATGGGGCCATCTTTCTAACAGGCAACTCATCAATTGGAAAATCCAGTTCTCTTTTGATCGGCTTGTTGAGAACAGTAACTGGTTGCACTTTAGCTGATGAAGGTTCCACTTTGAAAGGATTGTAGGCTGATCTGTAATTACAGCACCAAACAGTTGTATGCTCACGTAATGTCACATTTTGACATTAACTAAAAATCTAAATAATTTTTATATCATATAGCTACCTTCTTATAACTGTCTTCTCCAGTGATTTGCCCAGCTTAGGAACTGAAGTTTTATTTAAATCCCCCAGAAGACCATCCAAGATATCATCATTTGCCAAACTAACATCCTTCTGTAACAAAAAAAAGCCTGTATTATTTAAAAATATTTAAGCATATTAAAATAAATAAATGGGTTGAATTAATAATACTATCCTTGAAAAATAAATAAAAATAACACACCTCTGGTTTCATCTTGGAGCTGACAGCCGCGGCTGCAAACATCGATTTGATATCTTGCTTTGGTTTAGTACCCGGACGCACAATATTCTTGTTCTTCTTTTGATCTTGATTTTTCTTCCCTAAAGAAAAGTTTAAACAGATGTTTATAACAGCAACAACACACAAGATTTAAGGTGAAGATGGTTACTAATGAATGAACCTTACTAGATGCTGTTGGTGCCTCCTCCTCCATTTCATCATCAAATATCTCTCTGCCATCTTCAACGTATCCCGCACCATCTGCAATAGGAAATATGTAATTTAAAAAACTTTCAATGATGGTATGGTTTACCAAAATAACAAGCTTACTAATCATGGAACATTTTAGTTTCAACTACTTAACAAGCTTTTTACCATCATCAACAATCCAATCATCCTCTTGACGCTGCTTTACAAGTTCTGAGTATTCTCCTTCGTCAACAACTTCATACACATTTTTCTCCTCTTCCACCTGAAAATCAATTACATATAGAATAATAATACATGAAATATTAATGAATTTAAGGAACATTTGACAATAAATGTATTTACCCACATATATATTATATCACTTACCTCATATTTATTTTTTATGCCTTTTTCTTTAGCTTGGCGCAATTTTTCAAATGCAGATAGCCTGCCTTTCTTATCAACTTTTTGTCGTCTGGACCTACTCTGTGCAAGAGAGCAAGCATCGCCTAAGAAAACACAATACTGTTAGTTGTGGTCCGAAGACAAAGCACCGACATAAAAAGGTCTAAAAAATACTGTATGCTTCAGTTTGACTCAAAATGTAAGGCAGGCCGTAATACTTGTGAAAAACTTGTGCGGGCCTAAAGAATTTGGATATAATAATAAAGTAGAATATTTAATTACTTTGTAGGCGACGAAGTGGATGCTGGTAGGCTGCCTGCGGGCCATATGTTATACAAGCCTGCTTTGTTGTTGAAAAAAAAAAGGCTGGTATGTACTGCTAATAAATTAGCTTTATAACCTCTGTTGCATAAGACATGTGCGAACTCACTACTAGGCCTTCAATGCATTTTTTATCTATTTATACTGATTAACTACCATATTGAAAAACCAGCAGTGGCCGCATTAAATGTAGGTCACCTTTAATACCATACAAACATTGGCGCAACCAGCGGCTCATGGCCATAACGGAAGAAACGTTGAGCCGGTCCCACCAGCTCATGGTAGTTAATGACTTTCATACAGGTGAAATTTTTTTTATATTAATAGTACACTTAAATATAATCTTAACTTTGCATTAAACTGTTTAACATGCTAAGCAAAGGAAAAATTATACAGTGCCTAATCCTGAAAATCCTACAAAGTTTATATTTTAACATAAAACACTGCCATGTATATGTAGACCTAATCAATATATGGATCACAAAAGTTGAAGGCCCATGTTATTATTATTATATAGGGAGTACTAGTACAAGCAGTAATAGTAATTACTAAAAAAAATTAAATGAGTATAGTAACTGCTAAGCAGCAACCCTACTATTATGAATGTTCTTCCAATACTTATATAATAATATAATAATTTAATAATATAAATATAATTGCCATTAAAATTATTACAGTTTTTTTTCTTACTCTACAGTACAGGTGAACTATTCAGGCTTAATAAAATTAAATAAAAGGTTGAAGTGCACTAATTTCACTGTACTTCCCTTTATCCCTTAGCAGAATCATGAATTGATCAAATCAGTCCATCACCAAAGATGAATTTTAAAGAATTATCAAATAACATCCAACTCTTCACAATTAGTAGTGAAGTACTTGAAGACCAAATTTTATACAGATTTAGAAAGTTTTGACAATTTGACAAAGGTATTAATCAATGCAATTAAAATAAAGACGATCGCATCGATGACTTCTCTGCGGAGCACCCGTCATCAACATTGTCCAGCGCTGACAAAGATCGTTGACTCATCAACAAACAGATAAAGAAAGACAGAAAGAGGAAGCCAGGCGCACCTCGAGTCCGGCCGTGTGTCACAAACAATTTGTATCTATGCATTTAAAACAATACTGATATTATCGGGGAAAAAATTATAAATAAACTATTGAACTTATCAAGCTACTTAGAAAGTAATATACTAAATTATCAGCATTAATTACCGTCACTTTCTTGAGAATTTCCAACACCCTCCTTTGTCGGTGTCATTTTCCCGCAGTTTTCCTTTGTGTACATCACTGCCAGGAAATGGCAGAAATGAGACCAAAGAACATAATTTCTTGTGGGAATTAACTATTTCAGGCTTCTTTGTCAGATCTACCCAAAAAAAATGTGACAAAACCTGAAATTCGATCTAATCTGGATTTATAATATAAGCACATATTGGCATTTCATATAGAATATATAATATCAGTCACATATGACTCAGATGTAATACTTATAATAACCCCTTGTAGCGCGTTTGTCTATTCAGTTGGAAGCAAAATAATGATGAAATTGTTTGTTATTCATTTGATAAATTAATATAAGTATTCCCTAATGTCTTGTATTTAAATACTAGTTAATCACACATTTTGGTGCTCATAAATACCCTTAAATACACAAGTTATTAAGTAGTTAAGGCCAAAAATTACTTTCATGACCCAAGGCCTATCTGGCAAGCCTCGTTTGTGTTTCGCGCGACCCTCCCTTCTACTGGGCCATTGGTAAATACAAAATGGAACCAAAAATAATAAAGTTGTGTTGTTTCCCTTATTCTTTGTTCACGCATGACACAAAGGGATTGAAATCGTTCTTAGACTTAGTAAGAGACCAATGTCAAATTAAATGTCAGATCTTGATGTACCTTTTGACAACTAAGCTTAAGCCTAGGCATTTAACTCACACATAAATCCAAGATTTATTCTGACTTTTTAACTTACCATTAACTATTTTAGTAACCAACCATTATTTGTAATGTACATATTATTTTTTAAAGCTTTGCCGTACACATCCTAGCTTATAACATTAAATTTTTTTTCAAAATAGGGTAGGCTATAATAATAATTTTAAATTTATGTAAAAATAATATGTAATTAGCAATTCAGGCTTAGGTGAAAGAAAAATAGCCGTTTTAATGAATTTCGAATTTTATTATTATAAAAAAACAATAGTAATAGTGAGCAATACTCAGGAATATATTGTATGCAAAGTGATTAAGTGACTTTTTTAAAATCCAGATTATCTTAAGTTTAGTGATTATTTCTACTCGTGGAATCTTAACCGTGAAGAGGCCACCACAACTTTATGTTTAATATTACTTACCTTATAATACTTTGAATCACTTGCTAGGCTGATATTTAGACCTAAGCCTCCTAAGCAATAATTTTCAAAATCAAAAACACTCTCTAGATCCGTTTTTTTTAATAAAATATAATAAAGGTTTATAGCACAGACCTAGCTAGAAATAGTAGAATCTCAGCATAATCCTGTATTAAGCATATGTTGAGCCTTTCTACACTATCACACATGATTTCACAGCCTACAAACTATATATACCCTAACTTAAAAGAAATCCACCTTAAAGTTGACTGACACGGTCTCATTCAATACAGTGGTACATTTCCCAGAGTTTTGCTGGTGAGAAGCAGCTGATCGAATTGCCGCCCCACACCTACTGGGTCACTATTTATTGGGCCTGGCTCTACCCCTGCGGGCAGACGGTTTAGGGAGGTTGGGAGGGGGGGGGGGGAGAGTACCCATTCTTTACCTTTCCCTCCAAATCTAGCGTCCACTTCCACGCGTGAGAGGAGGCTGGCCCCTACGTCACATTGAAATCTGGCGGGAAAGTTTCAGAATCCTTTAGGGCAGACGGTTTAGGGGGGGTGGGAGGGGGGGGGGAGAGAGTACCCATTCTTTACCTTTCCCTCCAAATCTAGCGTCCACTTCCACGCGTGAGAGGAGGCTGGCCACTACGTCACATTGAAATCTGGCGGGAAAGTTTCAGAATCCTTTTCCACGATTCGCCCCACTAGCTATCGATCCTTCCCCCCCTCCCTGCCCCCCACCCCCCATCTTTGGTCTTTGTTTGCAAGCAGAGGTTGTTTTTTTTTCCTCCTCGCTCTACCGGCCAAACAAAGACGGCCCCGACCCGAGCTAACTATTACGCAAGCTGATTATGACTCGGACTGCGACCGTCTATTTTTAAGTGTTTCTTTCTTGAACATCTCGATGGAAATAGAGGATCAGATGATTTTAAAAAGGGAAATGGCAGTTCGGGTACAATTCATTCTTACTTAATAATGCAATGACTATTACCCCCCCCTGGTCATTTTAATATATATGACTATTACTAACTAAAGGTCTACAGTCAATAAGGGGAATTTTATCAAATGGACACTGGTAGGTTCACCTTTGTACATGTTTTACAGCTTAGTGGTGCGATGCAAGACATGTTCATTTGCCTAACCAATTTCACAGCTGAAGCGCCCCATCTACCCGTTTAGTATCTTTTCATTTTAGGCACCCGTACTTGGGACGCCGTTTCCTAAGTTAAGACGTCATTTTACTGTTTCCCCCCCCCCCCCGTGATCTGCCAGGCACCTTTCTCTTTCTGCACCCACCACCACTGCATGTACACACTCACATACAAATTAATTTATAAATCTGGTCACCATACTACATACGAGACCTTTGTTATAGAGGTGGATTGAAATCTGGGGGCAAGAGCGAGGTGCAGAAAATATTCATTTAACAAGAATAAACAGACCACTACTATTTGACATGTCATTCCTCTATCCATACTATTATTAATTATTATTCAGGCAATGAGTCATCAATCATATCGTTTGTTTGGGGGTTGGTGTTGTTTTTTTTGTGTGTTTTTTTGGGGGGTGTTTTTTTGGGGTGTTTTTTGGGGGTGTTTTTTTTTTGGTGTTTTTTTTTTTTGGTTTTTTTTTTTGGTTGTTTTTTTGGGGTGTTTTTTGGGGTGGTTTTTTTGTTTTTTTTTTTTTGGTTTTTTTTTTTTTTGTTTTTTTTTTTTGGGTTTTTTTTTGGGGTGTTTTTTGGGGTGGTTTTTTTGTGTTTTTTTTTTTACTTGTGTTTTACCTGGTCGTTGTCGGGGACATGTCATAGTACTGTAGTACTATGGATTGTCTTGGTAGATCTTATTCGTGTCTTACAGCCTGCGTGACGCTCAGGTCAGCGTCAAATAAATCGATTATTTAATACTGAAGAGTGAAAGATAATTATCGCCCACCTTGATCAGAACTAATTAGATTTGTTTTCACTACATAGTGATACGGTATTTTGGAATATAAATCCCCATCCACCCTCTTTCTACCCCCCACCCCCATGTCTCTCCTGCTTCTACTCCACTTTGTTTCTGCCTCCTAATCCTAACACTTTCTCTCTTCATTGTTCTCTGACAATTGTTCTTTGAAAAATTATGATATGAAGCAGGCAAGCTCAGTTCTTTCTTTGTGAATGAAATGATTTTTGTTGGGTGTGGTGTAGTGAAACGATTCTGTGTGGTAGTGGTGGTGAAATGAGGATTTGTGGTATTGACATGATTCTGTGTGGTAGTGGTAGTGAAATCGAGGATTTGTCGTAGTGAAATAAATCTGTGTGGTAGTGAAATGAGTCATTTTGGTAATGAAATCATTATGAATTGTAGTGAAAGGATATGTGTGGTACTGGTAGTCAAATGAGTATATGTGGTAATGAAATAATTATGGATGCAATTGAAATTACTATAACTTTGAAGCAACGAAATTTGCCAAAAGATAAATACCTAAATGATAGACATAAAATCACATAAGACGTCATTTGAGGTCGCATTCTTTTGATTGACGTTTAGTTTATTTAATAATCTGAACACCAAAGAAATCAGTGCTTCTCAAGCTTTTCAGGGTGTGGGGTGGGCGGAATTATTTGACGAGGTGTCATGCTATCATACAAGAGAAATGTCCCACAAATGTGTCCCAGCAATTAACTAGAAGTGGGTTTGGCATACCGCTGACTGTGAGCACCGATGTATTTGTAGATAAGAAAAGCGTTTTTTATTAACTTCTGTAAATTCCCTCCATAGGACCGGTATACGTGAAATCAACAATGGCACGCGGCCTTTCTTCCCGAATCCGCTAGTGGGTGGTTGAGGCCATCACTCAACCGACGGGGCCTAGTAGCCAGTCGACACAACTCACACAAGGTCAAACGGCGAGCCTGAAGGAAGGAAGTGTTTAGGTGTTTCCCAGTGTTCAGTTCAGTGTGTCCCGACCACCTGTCCGTCTCAATGGTGAGAGCAGACGTCAGAGTGGCACTACACGGATGCGCGTGTGGTGGAGGTGAGGTGAGGCGCGTCGATCTAGAACACTTTTAGCGAGGGGAAGAGAGGAGTGGAGATGGGAGTAGAGATGGGAGTAGAGATGTTGAAATCAAACAGGCCAGCGCTTGCAATCCACTTCGACACTCTGATGTCATATCATATTCGTAATCAAATACTGTAATTAAATTGTAATCCATTTCAATATTAGGTTGTTTTTTTTTTCATAGTAACATTTTAAAATCCATTCATAGTATCTTCGCTTATGTAAGTGGCTGACAAAATGTTCGGACGGCTAATTAACCCACGTCCCGTCAACCTATCGAGCTGAAACTTGGCACGTTGCCGTTGACAACACTTTCTATCAAATTTTCAGCCTCACCCCCAAAAATAAGTTTTTCCTATTTTTCAAAGGGGAAGATGAGGGAAATGTGATGCCACTGATTGTATGAAATGAAATTCCCGATAACTGCACTCAATGAGATTCTTTTCTTTTTTTTTAAGTATAAATCGCAGGTGCGTCTGGGGCATAATAGTTTCTAATAGTTTCTAGTTTCTAATAGTTTCGAATAGTTTCGAATAGTTTCGAATAGTTTCTAATAATAGTTTCTAATAGTTTCTAATAGTTTCTAATAGTTTCTAATAGTTTCTAATAGTTTCTAATAGTTTCTAATAGTTTCTAATAGTTTCTAATAGTTTCTTGTTTTTCTGAAATAGCAGGTGAAATAAATCTGCGGTGTTAAGGCGGGTGGGTCATTAGAATATTAATCTAGTTCAGGGGCGTGAACAAAATGTGCGGTTGCGAGCCTTGGTGGTGGGGGCACTGATTTGGATTCTAATAAAGTGCGTTGCTTGTATGATTGTTTTGTCCAATTTTCATCCGCCTCCCACCCCCCTTTCCCTGCGGGATATTCTATTTCCTAGAGGATTTATGC